CAGACCTACAGAACTGGCCCCAGGCCAACATCACCCTTCAGGTAAATTATATATACATACTGTACATATTATATATACATACTAATTAATAATGTTGTGTTTTATTATTATAGTTTCCCAAATGCCAATTCAAATTATAAATGTCTTTTGCTACAGGTGTCCACAGCTGAGGATAATGGTATTCTGCTGTATAATGGAGACAATGATCATATTGCTGTGGAGCTCTTTCAGGGTCATGTTAAAGTGAGCTATGACCCGGGCAGTCAGCCTGGACATGCCATCTACAGGTAAGCTGCTTATTGTACCACTGTCTGTATAATTATTCTTACAATATGACCAACATATATTCTTGCTTCTTTTCATAAGCACTGAGACCATCAATGATGGCCAATTCCACACGGTGGAGCTGGTGACCTTTGACCAGATGGTGAACCTGTCCATTGACGGAGGTGTCCCAACCACAATGGACAGCTTTGGGGTGGCGCGACCCCTCAACAGGGAGGCTCCACTTTATGTGGGGGGTAGGGGCCCTCTCCAGAACACACCTTCCTCCTCTGCAGGCACTCTTAACTACTACACTACTGTCACTCCCTCCCCTCCGCTTTGTTTCCACCTTAGCCCAAACATGCAGCCTATCCTCACACCCTCCCTGCCCTTGTCCTGTTCTTTCTTTGCCTTTTGTTAAGAAATCATTTAACCATTTTTTTTTTTAAACTATCATAGTTTTCGTTTGGTTTTATGCTAGTTTTTTATGTAATGAGACTGCCCTCTAGTGACTTTCTTGCGTGTTACATCTCTGTCTCTCATATTCAGGTTAATTTCTTTTCAGATTTAGTGAGGTATATTTCAAGCTTGAAGACCAGAGATTTAAAGTTATGCTCAAGAACTTCATGGAGATCTAATAGTGCTTTGCATAACTGACAGTACTAATGTGAAAAAATATTTTTCAATTTAGTTAATTTAAATCATTGTTGGTAAATAGAATAATTATCTTTTTCCTCTAGCTTTATACTTCATATATCACCATCATAATTAATTAAGCAAATGTAATATTTTTGTTATTGTTGCTTTATTTTTTGTGCTGTTAATCATTCCCTCTTTTTTCCTGTCCTTTTCATCTTGATGTGTCCCAGTGAGTATTCTCTGCACAAACACTTTTGGTCTGACAGAAAGCTGTAGCTTTGATTCTCAAATCTTTGCATCATTGGGACCTTCATATTTGAAAACTAAATAAATCATCATTACCCATAATCATTACAGCCCTCTGTTTGCTGTTTGTCTGTGACCACTGTTTCTGCTGAACACTGGGATTAATGTATGTGTTGTGTTTGTAGGTATGCCCGTGGATGTTCATTCTGGTGCTTTTAGACTGTGGCAGATTCAGAATGGCACCAGTTTCCATGGCTGTATCCAGAATCTGTACATCAACAATGAGCTTCAGGACTTCACCAAAACACAGATGAAGCCTGGTGTGGTACCAGGCTGTGAGCCCTGTAAAAAGATCTACTGTGTGCACGGCATCTGCCAGCCTGACGGCTTCCATGGGCCTGTGTGCCACTGTCAGCCTGGCTGGAGTGGACCGCACTGTGACCAACCCTCCACAAACCCCTGCCAGGGCAGCAAGTACGTGTGCTTAGAAGAAACACTAGACTGAATTAATCTCTTATTTATCTGCCGATGACTTATCCAGTACTATGCCAGATCTTTAATATCATAATTAGTCTTGAAAGATACACATGTTTTTTCCTCAGATGCGTCCACGGAAAATGTATCTCACTGGACAGTCAATCATATCGTTGCGAGTGTGATGAGGGTTACCGTGGTGCACTCTGTAACCAACAGGGGGAGCTGTTTAATCCATGCCGCCACTTAACCTGCAAGCACGGCCGCTGCCAAATCTCTGACACAGGGAATGCCTACTGCCATTGTGAAAGTGGTTACACAGGGGATCTCTGTGATGCAGGTATGTCTGTGTTCATTCTTCTGACTCAATCAGCCACAATTCTGAGCTATAGCTACACCCTTTACTGAAGTGAGAATAATGCATCAAACTGTAAAACATCAACGCATGATGTGAACAGCATGAGTCTGACACCATTAGTCTGAGTGGCTCTTACCTACCCGTGTGCCTGCGTTTCAGAGTCTGAGTGTCGAGGGGAGCCTGCGAGGGACTTCTACCAGGTGCAGAGAGGATATACCATCTGTCAGACGACCCGCATGGTGTCTTGGGTGGAGTGCTCCGGAGTGTGTGACTCTGGGGCCTGTTGCGCCAGTCAGAGAATGAAGCGTCGGAAATACACATTTGAATGCAGTGATGGCACCTCATTCACTGAGGAGGTAGAAAAGACCATTAAGTGTGGCTGTGTGGGCTGTATGTAGCACATTCAACTACAGCCCACTCCCAGCTGTTGTGCAGAAGAAGAAAACGATGTAAGGAGACAAGATGGAATCAAGTGAAGGAGGAGAAGAAAAAGTATAAAGAATATTTACAAACCTTTATTCATATGTTAGAGACAATGTAAAATAGAACAATTCCTCCCCTTCTAAGGGTGTGTAGACATCAGCCAACATAAGTTTAGCATCCTTCCAATGGTTCAAGATCTCAAGATGTAATAGTGTGGCAACAGCCAGCACCCAGTGTCACCTACCTATCCATCCTCTCAAATTGATGAAGTGAGGATCCGGTTGGGTTTGACAGAAGCTACAGACGGACTCAGAGAGAATCATGAGCTGAACTGTGTGTTTTGTCTGCTTTTACCAGGACTGGAGTTTGTGGTGTCATCGTTTTTTACAGTCTATGCTCTGCATGTGCACATGAAGAAAGACAGATGTTGGAGAGACAGGCACATGTGGTACATGTGTGTGAATGGAGCCAGATGTCAGTGGTGCAGGTTCCTTCATACACTTAACACATGCATGGCATCGCCACATAACACATATAGCCCTTGTGCGAGGCCTTGTTATTTAAAACTATTACTTTCAACAGAATTAAAGTGGTGCTAGCAGTGAACCACCCCCTGCATGCAGTGCCATTGGGATTTAGGTGAATTACCGAACCCTTCTTTTCTGGAGCTGGTGCTTGAGGGAGCTCCTAATGCCTGTAGTGTAATAAGAGTGCAAACTGCTGCATGTCAAGAGGGTTTGCCAACAAACCAGCAGAAGATCATTGAATATTAAAAAAAAAGTTCATTTAAAACAAAATGGATACTGAGACATTTTGTCTTATATTTGTTTTGTTATGTTCTGCAATTTTCCTTTATTGATTTGTTTTCTTTAGCTTTTTGCTTTAGCCTTTTGCCCCAGCTGTCCTTTCTATAGAAATGAAATCCTAACAGATATTAATATATATACATACTATATATTTGTATTTCATTTTGGTATAGTATTTTACTATGTTAAATCGTATGTCTGTTTGTGACAGGTGAATTGCATTTGGGTTGTTTTTGTTTGTTTTACTAATTTCACAAATGGTAATGAAAGAAATTCGCGCAATGTGCAGCAGCTGCTCTTGTTCTTCAGTATAGAGGCAGTATTGGTCTTCTCTAGAAATATGTTAATAATGATGTATATGTTGTCTTCCATGTGAATATTACACCTAAAAATGAGAGAGTGCTTTGTTTTATTTATTTCTGTATTGACATTCTTATAAAGTTGTTGGTTTATTTGGTTTTCTGAAAAAAGTTAAAAGTAAAAAAAAAAAAATCTTAAAAAAATATCCTACAACTCTGTAAAGTATTTGACTGTGTTTGCAGATTACAACAGTATTTTATTCTTCTCAGACATTCCTGATTTTGCTGTGAGCAGTTACAGAGGAGAATGTCCCATTGTTAGTACATTGTAAATATACCTCACTTGTCTGCTTCTTTTTTTTTACATGATTTGTTGTTTATACCTTTTAAAAAAGTTTGCCATTGAGAGGAATATTATTTTCTATATTGTGGAGTCAAGCTCAACAGATTGTAAGCTGCTGTCAAGACAGAAGAGTTCAAAAGCCTGTGTGGACACTGAATATGCTACTCATCTACATTTAAACATGACACTGAGGGACATGCCTTTGGTGGACTGTTGACAGACACACTCAAAGCTCGGGACATTTCCGTGTCTGTCACATCTGAATGGCTGTTCACAAACTGGACATGCTGCCAAGTACACTACACCCTGAATGTATAAATGTGTATAGATAAATATAATGCTTATCCATCAACTTTAGCTGTCATCTTGTTCCTAATCATTGAACTCACTGTTTTAAAATTCACTGGCTTAGGAGAGTGACATTGCTTTTCTATTCTGCTAACCCCTTATGTAAAAAATATTGGTACTACGGCCACATTACAGCGCTCCCATTAGTTATTTTGTTATTGATGTGATACTGTGGTGTGCAATATCAAAAGGGTCACTGTAAATCTTAAGCTGTGCTCCTAAGGTACAACGTTAGTCAGATGTGGCTTGCCGCTCCGCCTGCACTGTACTGCATATACTGTATGTGCATCCAACTATCTGGTAGACATCTTAGTGGTGCTTGTGCTAATGAAATATAATTCATTCATAATCCATTACTGATAGCTATTTGGTAAGGTGGCCAAACAGTTTCTCCATCATATGAACTATTTACATAGATGTTATTGTAATTGACACAATGTTTCATGTGTAGTGAATTGTTACAAAGAAAAAGTCCTGTTCCAATTTTGTTTATTTTGTTTATTTTGTTACAGGATTGATTGTGGGATTGAACTAAAACTATCCCAGTAATGCTGAATGTACGTAGTGCCACCGACAAAATGTTTACCAAACCTCCACCTTTTCATTAATTAAAACAATTATGTGTGCTTGGTCTGGTTTTATTTTTATTAGTTAAAATGTTTGATGTGTGTTCTGTGTTCCGTCTTTTTTAAAACTAGAACAGAAAGCCATTTTTATCAAGATGTTGCTAAATCACTGGATTCTGTATTTATAAGTAAAACATGCCTACATTCTAAACAAAAAATAAATTCACACAGTAATCATTAAAAAAAAAATCTTTATATCAGTTCAGCAAAAATACAATGGTCTTGACAAAGATGACACATTTAAGGAGTTACCAATAAAGCAGTTTCTTTCTAATATACAAAATGAAAATCTTTAAATAGCAACTATAGAAAGAATAAACATGTTCAAGTCTGATATTTGGTGGACTTTTAGATTTGCTAAATACATTAGCCCCGCAACTTCTTAAATAACATTTAAAAAAATACGACAATTTTTGCATTTACATGTGAAATTACTAAAAACCACTGCTAAAATTCTAGTTTACTGATGTTTATGGAACTTCACATTGAGAGCATTTAATAACAGAAAAAACACACAAAAAGTGACTAGGCTACCAACAAAAACAAATGAAATAATTAAAAAGGTCAGTACTTTTCCTTTAATGCTATTGGTTCACATTATCCACACTCATCATTTTTGTCTCCACACGCCAACACAGCTTCCTTACCAGAGCATGCATAGTCTTGCATAGGCTTCACTACTCCAAATCTGCTTTTTTCAGGACAACCATGCATGTAAGAAATAAACTGTGCCAACCACAAAAACTCCTCTAACAAAAGTAAAACCATAAAATAAAGTACACACATTAGCTGGTCAAATTAAGTGTCACTATAATGACGAATTTTAATGCTCTGGGAAGTTGCGTATTAAAAACAAATGGGTAACACAGCTCTACAGAAATGCTTAATAAACAGCAATTACCCTGCACACAGTGTTAAAGTAAATAGGGGGAACTACTTAAAAAGAAAATGCTTCACATTTACAAACACATTCACTTATTCATTGGATAAGGCACCTGGTTATAACAGTCAAAGTCCTGGAAGACAGAAACATGGAGGTACTGCAGTCTCCTTCAAGCATCTTCTATCAGCCCATAATTGCCAAACATATAACCCAATGTATTTCGCAAAAGCACAAAAAAATTTTACTTCATCATTGTACAAATGAGAACTTCAGGTAGTTAAAGTTAGTTTTAAATAATCAACAGGATAAAATGAAATTAAAAACAAACTAAATCTTTGTTGTTGTCATTTTGTCCTGGTTCGTTTTGCAGGGGTCTCTAGCTGGGCCTTTTTGGATGCACTGCGTGGTAACACTGCTGTTTGTCTTCTCTTTGCAGAACGCTTCAGAGCTCCACTTCGGGTGAGAGCAGGCTTCTCTGCTGGGACTGGGGTTTTGTTGCCCCTCTCAGATTTCCTTGTAACACTTTTGGAAGTGGCATTGACAGAACTGGCTGTGCCAACTTTACGCTGGGACCTGGTCTGAACCTGATCAGGCGAGTTTGGGACTTTGCTATCATTTTTTATATCTGGAGGATCAGCACTTTTACTTTCAGCTCGTTCAGGAGACTCCTTCTGAACCTTAGCAGCTTTGGTTTTCGTGGCTTTAATTGTTTCTACTGGCTTTTTTTCTTCCACTTTTTTGTCTGTCTTGTTTTTAGGCGCTGTAGTGACATTAAGCTCAGGTGCAGGAGGTGACCCTAGTCTTTGAGATGTTCTCTTTGGCAACTCCTTCTTTACCTCTTCCTTGGTCACCTGTTTGCTGCTCTTTTCCTTTGCAGGTGGTTTTACTGACTTCTGTTCATTGGATTTCTCAGCTGAAGTCTTCTTTTTATCCGATTTCGACTCAGTATCCACTTGTTTTTTGCTGGATGATGATTTTAATGATTTCTGATTGGATTTGGATGCGTCTTTTGTGAATGATTTCAAGCTGGCCTTTACTTTTGCCTTCTCTTTTAGTCGTGCATTTGCCTGCTTCTCTCGGATATTCGAGTATTTCCTTAAAATCCTTGCACTGGCTGGATTTTGAGTTTTACCACTTTTAGGCTTCTGTGGTTCACGTTTGGAAGATGAAGTTAGCTTTTTCACAATAGCGCTTGCCACCTCCTTTTTCTCTTTTCCTTTAACCACATTGACCAATTCTTGTTCTAATGCTTTGGCAATGAGTTTCTGAGTCTTGGGGTTACTTTTGACAGGTGACGCAATGGCAAACTTCTTCAAATGTTTCTTCAAGCGTTCGGCCTGCAGACTTGGATAGACGCCTTGTGAACTCCCCGAGGCCCCGGAGCTATGGAAACAGAGCTGTGTTTCTGATGGAAGGCGAGTGTTCACCTTTTTAACTATGACCAAAGATTTAGTTTCAGTCGATTCAAGAAACCAGCGACATATAGTGTTGAGATCAAAACCTTTCATGAAGAGCATTTGCACTGGAGAGTATTTTGAAGTTTCCATCATTTTGGGTTTTCGAACTCTGCGTTTACTTTTCCATATAGCCGCTTGTCTGTCCAGCTTGTTTTTGTGTTTGGGTGTGGGTTGGCCTTCCTTGTCCAACTGCATCCAACCTTTGTGCATTTTATCAAACTTCAAGTTAAGGTTATTTATTATTTGCTGGTTTTGTGCACCATTCAATGCCTCCAAGAACCTGACGCTGAGCGATTTGGGTGGATCTGATTTAGAAGTGGAAGCGATGCCGATTGATGTACTTTGTGCAACTGGAGTGGGCCGAACTAGAGGTTTAGTCATACGAATATGTGAGGGAACATCACTTTGACTGTTAGCAGCAGCAGTCTGTCTCTGTGATCTTAATGATAGCCTCTTTTCCTCTGCTGGTAGTGACTGATCCACCTTGTTGCCTTCACTTCTCAAAGGCATTCTTGAAGGTTTTTTGGCAACTGGGCCACTACTGTCTGCACTTGAAGAACTTTCAAGTTGGGCTTCTTCACTGGGTTTTGGCTGTGTTGAAGACTTGCTAGTTTCCACCTCATTTTGAAGAGTGCGTTTACTTCTCAAAGACATTGCCTTAGACTGAGGTTCACCCTTTACTGTAATTTCAGTGGTACTTTGAACATATTCGGCTTTTTCAGCCTCACTCTCCTCTGGTGCAACCTTTGCAGATCTAAGAATAGGTTTGGACTGGACCGGGCTTTCTTTTTTACTTTGAGGCTGGCTATTTGGCTCTGTTTTTTCATCTATTTTTGAATCTACGCTGGTTTCTGGAGGTGTGGACTTGTCAGTAATTTGTGGAGATATTTGTTCTGTTGTATGTGATGGAGCGGAAGGTGGGGTAGATGCCACTGGGTTTGAGGACTCTTTAGATTCTATGACCAAAGGATGACTTGTAACAGCTGTTTCAGTAGTTGTAGCAGTATTAGTAGTAGGAGTAGTAGTGACAGAGATGGGCACTGTTGTAGGAGATTCAACTAAAATTTGCCCAGAGGACCTAAGATGACGTAAAGACATTGTGCTTTGTCCAACTGCCTTTTTTCTGTCTACTTTTGATTTGTCTGCAGACATTTTAGGTTTGGAACTGGGCTTGTCAGAGGGCTCTGTTACTGGAGGAACAGAGGGACAAGGGTCTGTTTTGGCTGGTTCAGGTTCTTCCTCCACAGACAACGGTTTCACAAAATCACTGGATACTGTATTTGAATTCCCATCACTTTTGTTTTGTACTTTCTGGCCACGTTTATTTTGTTTTGGCATTTCTTTGGGTGGTGTAGTTTGAACTGACCTGCGGCGCAGACTTCTATCAGACGCTGAAACAGGCCTACCACTAACAAAACCCACAATGACCTCTTCAGATTTTTCAATGCTTTTTGGTGCAGAACTTTGAGTATTCTTCCTTCTTCTCCAAGGGGGCAATTCATTTGCCAGTTCCTCCAGTGTTTTTGAGGACACGTCACGTTCTTTCTTGTCCTTTTCACATACAGTGGTTTCACTAGTGTTTTCTACAGCTGTAGTTTCCGGTTCTGTGGCCGGTTCCTCTGCTAGCTGGACTTCTGCACTACCCCCTTCTGTATCCATAGACCTCTCTGTGGTAACAAACTCCGTCTGAATATCTTGGTTTGGCTCATCACTCCTTTTATCCTTATCAATATCCTCTAAAAGTTCTTCTTTTTCTGGTAATGGATTTTCTTTGAGAACTTCTACATCGTCTGAGGAAATCTGTTGAATGCTTTCTTCTACAACACCATCCTCCACAGTGTCAGAGATTGTGTCAGGCAAAACTGGCTGCACTGAACTCTCCTCTTCTGTGTTTTGGGAAATTTCCTTTTCTTCTGTAAATAATTCTGAAGTAATGTCTTTATTTTCACTGGGCTTCTCCAATTCTGCACATATATCTGGCTCTATACTCTTGTCCATATCATCAGCTTGGTCCGCTGGTGACTGACAAGCAGTTTCTTGCACTACCTGTGACTGGTCTGTCTGACTGGTTTCTACTATAACATCTACATCACTTGTTGTTGTCTCTTTGGCCTGACCTGTCTCTGATAACTCACTCTCAGTTGGCTCTTGTGTAATGATCTGTTGATCCATGGCTTCTCTGCACTCCCCAGCACAGGGCATATCCACAGGGGGTACGCCTTCAGGCTTGGACAGGTTCTGTTTTGGGGTAACAGAGCTGTTGAAGTCTAGCAATGGATTGGGGCAGTTCCCTCTTCCTGCTAGAGTTCGAACTGTTTTTAGCTCCCATATCTCATCCGAATACATGAGTCCTCTGGTACTTTTTCGAGCATTGCGTCTTGGTGCCATGCCCCTGTGGCGTTTCTTGAAACACTCTGTGATAGGTTTGTTAATATAAACAATATCACAATGTCCAAGATCAGGGTCTAGAATAACTCTGTCATTAAAGTCATTGTGGCGTTCGGTAGATGGTCGGATGGACTTTCTGGCAGTCCTGGGGGATTTTGAGGGAATAGTCGCATGAAAAGAAATAGGTTTTGCTGTTCTGTCATCAGCTTGTCCCACCGTCTGTTTGACTGGATGTGTGTGGCTAGATTCATTGTGCTTTTTAAAGGAAGAACTAAGTCTAGCCCTTTGTATCTCTGCTGAACTTGTGTTACCCAGTTTGTCGTCCTCAAGCTGAGGTGAAATAGCTGTGGTGAGCACACAAGACAACTTGTTACCAGCACTAACACTACCAGTCTTCATAATTTTTAGTTTTAGAGGGGCATGATCACCGTGGCCACTGTTTTTAGTTTCTATTGTGGGTGTGGATATGGGAGGCGTTGAAGTGTTGGTAGGTGAAGGGCTAGTTTTGGAGGCTGCCGCAGGGGGCACGGGAGTAACAGGCAGTTTTGGTTTCGGACAGATGCTTGAATTAGGTCTAACTTCTGGACTGGAGTACACTTTAGAGGGCTCAGACGATGGTCTGGTAGGAGTGGGTAAACATGGTGAATAGGAAGTTTGTGGCTCATGTGGACATGTGACTGGTTGTGAGGACTTTGAGGGTGTGAGGGCTTTAACCTCTGTCTGTAAGAAACTAATAGTACTGATTATTTGTCTCTGATGGTGCAGACACAGTTTGGACATAAACTGTTCCAGTGTGGACGCTGCCTGCAGGTCCTTGCCTTTGCCGATCTGTACCTCCCAGGGCTCCCTGAAAAAATAAACAAATAATTTAACACAAATTATAATTTAAAGGAAATGTAATAAAAAAACAACAACTAATAAATAAATAAAATATATGTGCATTAGGTTTATAAATAACAAAAAACAATCAGGATTTAATTAATCATTGCATATTTATTAGAAGAATAAGTGATTTATAGAAGGGGTTTTAAATCCAGTGACCTACTACAATGTTACAACTGATATTTAATGATTCTACAACACAATGGTGCCTTTGTTACAACATGTAATCAAGAAAATATCACACATGCAAATACATTAAATTCTAGCTGCGGGCCACAAGTCTCATAAGCATATATATTAGAGAGAACATTTTATAGTACACAAGTGTCAAATAAGTTAATAAGTGCTAGGGATGACAAGTGCTCCACAACATACAAAAAAATAACTTAAAAGACACAAGAAAACAAAAGTAATCACCAACTGTATTTCCAGTGCAAATTATTCTTTTAGCTGGGACAAACATGTGTTTTATTTTTTTCTTTTTTTTTGGCAAGATTTGTGAGGTAGGTTACTGTGTGTGATTGGAACACCACTTTTTTTTTTTATTAATTTGCATTTTAAACAGCAATGCGGCCTTTGAGATATTATTTGTAATGTTATCTGTTACACTGCATTGGAATGTTCATCAATTACTGATTCTGACGTGCTGACGTCACTAGCACACAGTCTCTACTAAGTGCTTATTGGTTTGTATCAGGAAAAATGTGTCAGTAATTAAAGATCTGTTTTGTTTTGATGAAAGGAAGGGTCAGTATATGTGTATAATACATGAGTGCAACACACAGTGTAGATCTGCTGGTGGCTGTAGAGTCAACAGGGTTGTATTTGTGACCTTAACCAATGTATAGTTATCTGCACAGTATAATAGTCTGTGTGCTCTTTGAGGCACAGAAGAAAACTGGGAAAGAAATTGTGAGCTGAAACACATAGTCAAACTGACATTCAGTTGTGTTAGGTAGAAAAATAAAAGTAACTACCATCTTTAGATAAAAAAGAATAGAACACCCAAACATTGTGCTCCTGCTGTGGAGCAGTGAGGTTTTTAAGGAGTACCTGAAAAGTAACTGTTTGTCCCTGAGGGGTATTCATATTATCTAACATTAGTGTAACTTTGATAATAACATCAACTTCTAAAGAAATACAAAAAAAATAAAATACAATACACAAGAAGCAATGCAAACGGCAAGCTTGGGTCTACTATATGTAACAAGCCCACAGTACGATCAATTCATCCACAGTGTTACTCTGCTAATGTTATAGCGCACATCAGGGATTCACAGAAGCAGTTAAACTATGAGGGTGTGTGACCAATGACCGGACATTTAACCAGGTTCAACTACAGCTCCACACTGTTACTCAACAGTAAAACACACCAAGATTTCCACAGTTATTTCCACCTCATCATCCAACAACTCAATGACATGTGCATCAACCATGCATCTTCACATAAAGTCTGTCTTTTGTACATCATCTTTCATTTGAAATAAAATACAACAGTCTGTACACGTTATCTTTTCTTAAATAATGTGAAAAACACAGGTTATAACTATGCTTGCCCTCATTGACAATGTATATTCAATTTACAAATATACAAGTCAGTAAGCAAATATGTTTAAATAGATAAATATTATTTTAAGCACTATGTTACTTTTTATCTAATTTACATTCAATGCAACTTAGTTAAAAGCAAGTCTTTATAAATACTCCTTAATAAATAGGTATCTTAAGTTTACATAATAAAACTTTGCTTAGGTTAAACCTCTGCATTAGAAAGATCAGGGTGACTTTACCATTAAAAGTGCCCATTATACCATACATTACATATTTACACTACTAATAATTTCCATCCTTTGTCCCATTAAGTATCATATCTTGATCTATGCACTATTTATTTAATAAGTAACAAGGGGCCCGTGTAGGGATGGTAAACTACTGGGTCTTTTTTTTTTTTATTGTCACAGAGGTTTTGGTAGGTGAGGTAGTCGATCAAAAGATCTGCTACAATTTGTAAGAAAGGTATTAGCTACTTTCCAGAAGATATACCCAGTGTTGTAACAGTATTTAAAAACAGTATTCAAAAGGAAGCTTAGATTATTAATGAGCGATTGTCCATGCAAACAAAATCAAATGTTAATGTTCAGTGTAAAAATAATCTTTGTTAATGTTTAACGTAATACTGTTATAATTAAATAGGGGGCAAAAATTGGCTTGCTGTAGATAATGATGTGGTAATGATGAACAGCCCTGTGTTGACTAAACATTTCGTTATGCTGCTGCTGCTGTGAACATACAGTAAGTCTATAATCCCTGAACTATACTGTGTTGTGCATTTGGAAGGCTGTCATAAACACATGTAATTATAACAAACATTACATTGTTCGAGTGTAACTTATTGACCTGAAGAAAACTATGGGCTGACCCCATAATCGGGAATGTCCTGAGGCTTCAGTGATAATGCACGATGGAGTTTCCTGATCAAGGGGCAGGTCAGGGGCAGGTGAGGCAAAGGGGGTGGCAGGTGAGGCAAAGGGGGCACAGGGGCACCCCCAGATAAGTGTGTGGAGCAAAGCAGTGATAGAACAGTATCTGAAATCTTGAAAACACCAGTTTTTTTGCACAGTAACAAACCAAAGCTGAAATAAGAAAAGGAAGATTTGTTTGTCTTGAGTAGACTGAGGTATGAATGTTGCTGTGAGTGACTACTGTACTTACTCAAGTTGCTCACACAGTGAGTGAGTACAGGCATTGATATACATATTGCTATTGCTAATGTATGTTTGTTTTTAAAGACCATCTTAAAAACATAGCCAAGTTCTCTGTATTGTAGCATAAATACATATGCATTCTAATAAACAGAAAAATATCTTTTAAAGACTGAAGTGATAAGGTTTACAAAGACACTGAAAGGCTAACAAACTGAGCATGTTTTCAAAGTCAACCTGAGAAGTAAAGCTTGAGTAATTAATTACTGAGTTAGGTTTAGCTGTATTATAGAATGTAAGATAATGCAAATATAACTGAGGTATAGTTTTGCGTACAATTATTCTAATGTCTACATGAACATCCTCCCTGTGTAAAAAGTATCCTGAGTTTGCCTGAAAGTTTCTTATTTTTTAAATTTCACATAATTGTTAAGTGTTACTATACTGTCAATTTGCTTAGTCACTATATTCATATAGTAGTAGGTGTATCTGAAAGGCTATTGGTGCTGCTGGCATGGTTTGAACATCATGTTACAGTACACAGAGTGAACACCAGGTGGTGCCACTTTCCAAGACATATCTGCTACATCAGAGGAGGAATATTTTCAGATAGCTGGGCTTTGATTATTTGATGAAAGTATGATTTGCTGAATAAATATGTGCAAGGGCTATGATTAAATAACTTATTTGTTAAATAAATAAATAGTATCTGTTATATATTTACAAACAAGATCATGAAATGTTACTCCTGAAGAGAGAGGTTTGCAGACTCCCTGTCTGGAGAGTCGGGGCTCTCCTTGCCCTTGCACAGCCATGGCTCCTCTTGCTCTTCAGCCTGACTCATTAACCGCAGCTTTTTTTTGGGTGGGTTCTTCAAAGTGCCCAACCGCTCTTTCACTTTGTACTCCAGGGTGCTGTGAGGGATGCCATAAATGGACTGGGCTTTGGAGACGCTCATTTTGCCACTCATAACCACCACAATGGCCTCCTCCAGTAGCTCGGTGTTGTACTGCCGATAGCGCCCACGCTTCTTCCTCGGCTGTTTCATCCCCATATCTGCATCAGCATCCAGAATGTTGTTTCCGCGTTCACCATTAAAAGGCCAGTGTTCCTTTTCCACAGTAGATCCATTTAAACCATTAATGTGCCTTTTGTGGGGCAGAATAGAGTGAAGCTTTTTCTCATAGCGCAAGCCTGAATATTCAGGGGAGAGGGAGTCCCAGGACTGGTCAGAAGCACCAGCCGAGGTTCGAACCTGAGGGATTTTCAGATCAAATGCTGAATTGCCCAGAGAGAGCTGGTCTCTGCCATTTTCATGTGGTTTTTCAACCAAAGACTTGGAAATAAGTCCAGCAAGTTCCAAAAGTTTGGGTATGTCTTTGAGGTGCTCATTCATGTCGTTATTTTTGAGTCTGAAATGGGTGCCGTTAGTTTTAAGTTTCCACGGTGGAGATCCATTGGGTCTGGAGTGGTCGGCGTCGCTCTCTGAGGCGACCTCCTCTTTGATGTGCAGAGAGTATGAAATAGAGGGAGAAGACTTAGAACGGGCGGAGTGGCCGATATTCTCCCTCCTCCCATCCTGTCGGCTCCTCATTAACAGCTCGTCCGCTCTCAGGGACCTCCTGATTGGATGGAAGCAAATTGGGTGTAAGCAGAGCTTGCACAGTGTCTTTTACTAAACGAGGATGGGTTAGGAAGGGGAGGATGTTGGCCACTCCTTTATTTCATGATCTTGCTTTGGTAACATCACCGTCTTTGACAATAAATGGACGTATGTGTATGCATGTATTTAAAACAATAGGCTCAGCATTTACAAATTTTATTTGCTGGTGTCATTTTGTTGGTACAAATTGAGTGACAAAGGAGGGAAAAGACGAAGGGGGAAATCAAGACCAACAGAAGGTGTGTATAGGAGATGTACAGGGCCATTTCTGTTGCATATAAAAGCATGACTAGAAGTGGAAGCGTTGCTGTAAATCAGCATAGACTGTAGCTTTAGCCGAGCAGGACAGCAAAAGACATGTTGTGCGTGACGTTACCACTCAACAAGCACAGCAATAAAAGAGTAAGCCAGCAGAGGGAAGTGTGTTAAAGTCAGGCCTTGAAGAGTCAAGTGATGGAAAACAACATCAAATAAAGATTTTCAATTGTTTATGAAATAAATTTTCTCTCTGAAAAGCATGCTTTCATGTTTAAATTAAAACAAATGACTCATGCCACCTCCACATGATTCACAGGATAAACTTAAAAGTTAAAATGCAAGCACAAAGAAAACAAAAAATGAATGCATGTGTTGTGGTCCCTGAGCATAATATTATGATAACTTAAAAGCTGTACAGTACATTACAAACAAGACTCTACTCACCCTTTAGGTGTGGATGTGACGGGAGAAAGGCAGGAGCTGTTGCGGTTCTTTTTGATGGATAGATCCAGGACTCCATCTGTGGAACATGTTCATATGTTAAAGAGCACTGCTACATTAGTGCTACACAGACAGTGGCGGTGCATACCCTGCTCAGTGGACTCCACTGGGGGTTTCTTGATGGTGAGGTCCAGAGGGGCGTCCTGGTCGATCATGAGGAGTTTGCTGAGCACTGGGTTGAGGTTGTGAGCCGAGGAGAGCGGAGGAGAGAGAGGCTGTGCACACGGCAGGCTTTGGTCACAGTGCGGCTGAGAGGCTGAAGGCTCCTGAGGGCTGCTCTTTGAGGTATATTCAGCTGCAAACTGTCGGATCATCCCCTGAAGGATCTCACGGGCCACTACTGGTACGTGGGGGTCAGAGAAATTTGGCACATCTGATTGGAAAAGAACAAGGCTTACTCAGCATATTTCATAACTATATCAGAGTTCATAATTCAAAGTTCAGATGAAAGTATTTCAGTGTGCCAGTCTGAAAAATAACATACCTTTTCTTCTGAGGACTGCACTGAGAAACTCCTCAGCTTGTCTTTCGAGTTTAATCAGTAAAGTCTGGTCCTTCGCTAACAGAGGTTTGGGTGGATCTTCAAGCCCATCACTGTTTAAACTGCTGAGCTGTTCCTGTCAAAAATAAAAATGCATCATGATGGCTGTTAAACAACAGTACTTCAATTCTTTAAATGAAATGTGGTACCTTCACTTTATTTCTTCTCAAACAGCAAAATATACAGTTTTCATCAAAGGACCAATCAGACACAGCAAGAGGTTCACGATCTATGAAAGGGTGGCAAAAACATGACATTACTTTCCATAATTTGAAATAATCTTTTAACAATTATGATTTTGAGTTAAAAATGTGGCAAAGAAGTCAGTCTAAACACATTTTAGACTGTTCGTGCTTAATTTAAAGCTAAATTATGTGTGTTCCACACCATTGCACTATTGTCCTAGTATGCCATATATTATGAAAATGTCAGTAGGACACAGATCTATGGCCCTCTCCAAAGACACCAACTTTGTGGAGTACAAGGCTCTTCTCTTCTGTGGAGGCTGAGCAGTGAATGAAGAGGGGCACCACATGGTACAACGCAGCAGCATTATGATAATGAGAATAGCCCCTTCCCACAAAAGCAACAGAAACCACCTCTTTGTAAAGATAAAAATATGATAATGAATGAATTAAATGAATCATTCTTACCCTTAAATAACTGTAAGTCTTGTACCAGCTCCGGACCAAACAGACCTTCAAGAATGCTCTCAAACCCTGAAAAACAAAAATAATCTGGTTAAATAATGAAATGATGACCACAAAGTCCAAGTGTTTAACAGACGGCTCTGTGATAATGTCACAGCTCCAGGTGAGGCTAATCTCAATGCGCCTCTTTAAGTACCTCCTGTTTCTCTTAAATTCACATCAGCTTTCAACTCAGGGTTTTACTTCAACAGTAAATACACACGCACTACATCCTGTTGCCAAGCAACTACATCACCTACAGAGTTGGGAGAACACGCATGTCATAACATTAAAAAGAAACAAGCTCGATAATGTCAGTATCACATACAATATACTAGATCTATAATGTATGGCAAAGTACACAAGCGCTGAGGAGAAATCCTTTATTTAGCTGCTACAACTACATCTACAACACCCAAAAACAACTATGTTAGTACGCAAGACAGGAGTGAAGGCACATTACATGTTACATTGAACACAGTGTAGTGTATGAGCTATGCCTGGGGTCAATCCAAAAACCACTACATGCATTAAATCAAGCGCTAAAGAGGTCAGGGCCAACATCTGTTCACTGAACTGGATCACAAATGAGAGCGCGCAACGCCAAAACAAAATGATGCATCTAACAAATAGAAATAACTGAATTAAAAACACAAACCATCAGACTAAAGGATCAACTGCTTCTGTCAAAGCCTAAAAATGTCAATCTCAACTTCAAAAGTGTCAAAACAGAAAATACCTACTTACAGTGCGTCTTCAACACGAGACAGTGATGAGAAATAAAGCCTTTTCACCTAACTCTAGTTTTAAACTGCACTGAATCCATCTGAAAAGCTGTCAACTGTTAAAATGCCCTCTTTCTGCTTCCCTGAAAATTCCTATTCATCAGCCAAATATAAAGAGGAGAGAGAGGGAGGGGTGTAGTAGTGAAACACTGTCTTGCCTATAGCTACAGCATAACGCTGTTTCTGGGTTAGTGCACAGGACTTCAGCTGAAGCCATCCAATCCTATTTCTGAAATATTTCAGAGGCAGAGGAGAAAGTAGGTCATCCACTTTGGTTTGACAGAGCAGGCTGTGGCATCAAACCCCTCTTCAGGAATTTGGTTTAGGGCATTACAAATGTGTCACACTGTAACCGTGACGTCAGCCAACATTATGTCTCTCTAATGTAGAGGCAGCTTGGTCTGAGGCTGTGGGAAATATCAATCAATACCTTCACGATTGAGATCCATGCAAAACAAATCAACTATTGACATCATGTTACAGTTCTGCATTGTTTGTGGAAGGTTGTATACAGCTTTTTGCATCATGTGGTACAGTTTAGAGTAGTGCCACTATGTGTAAATGTAATCTGATGAAAAGGCAACTGTATATCTAATCAGACGAGCAGTCAGACTGTCAGTAAGACGCTTAAGAGCAGTCTCACAGGATTCATACCACACTACTGGAGAATGTCACTTATTTGATGCTTCTTTATGTGTGATTGGCCATGCAATAAATTACTATGAATCACTAAAATTGTAGAACTCATCATATTATTGAGTACAATACTATGGTACAAATGGAAACTAAAAACAAACAACAATTATCTGTAATACCGAAAAGTGTCCTCAGCCATAGCCAGTCCCTGGTCTCATTTATGACACTGTGAAATGCAAACAGCTTATCATAAACTAAAGCACCAATGTTTTGATAAATAAAATGTGCAATTTGCCCACTCATGGTTGTAGAAATATGTTTAAAAATCCCATTCCTATTCCCATTGTTGAGCCAAGCATCCCAATTGACAAGAGTCCTGAGCTGCAGTGATGACCCACCCTTTGCTCTGCTCCGGCTGCATCAGCCCCAATGGCCCCTCCCCCACCACACTGTACACTGTACATGAGTGACCACAGGCTCACAGAGGCACAGCTCTCCTCACAGCACAAATCTACACTTAAAAAAAGTCTACGCAACAACTACAATCAATAACACACCAACACTACACTGATAAAAAACAAGCACATCATGATGATCTTACCACTAGAAACACAGCATAGTAAAGCAAAACATAACCATCATAACCATATATGTACCATGTCAATGTAAAAATGTAAACTGTAGACTGCAGTCTGCACTGGCTGGGCCTCTGTGTGCTCAAACTGTACTTCGTACATGACGTGATCCATAGTGACAAATCAAATGTTGTAATGCTTTATCAGACAGAAAACACACATTTATCACATTTATAAAAACAAAACAGATGCCCTGAGTACAAAAACTAAAGGCCATGGAAGAAGAGAAAACATTTATCCAGCTGAATTAGTGAAGAAATTCCACTAAACACAAAAATATAGAATTTTTGAAAGTGCACAAGTTTTAATAGAGATCAAGTATTTCATTGAGAAGTCCACAGCCAGTCCTCTGTCAGTAAAAGCATGTGGTTTGGAACAGAGTTCAGACTTTGGATGAAGGTTATTTCTTGTGTTTTATGTTCAGGAAAAGAAATACTGAAAGCCATTTCTATGTGTTTAACCATCAGACCATAAATGAATAGAAAATTATGACTGAACAATATGACCAGAAAAGGTCATTTATTTTTGTCATCCTAAGACAAAGTACAGGGAGGATCTGATTCACTGTAAAGTGTTCGAGGTTGTTCTGGGTTTGACTCTGTTCTTCGGGCCTCACTGTGTGGAGTTTGCACGTTATGGAGGTTTCCCCCATCATCCCAAAACATGCACTGACCAAGTGTATCTCAAGATCTGGAGATGGATCCCCATGTTCCTCTGGTGCCAGAGCATAACACATGGTGCTGGTTCCAACAATTGCTCCAGCGGCATTGGTCAGACGTAGAGGACACATTTCCCTACTGGGACAGTAAAGTGCACCTGACCTTACCTTTGTGTTGTCTGATTTCCTGAGTTGAGCACTGCTGTTATGGGACCTCCACACAACTCCAACCCCTGAGCTTGCGCTGGGAGCTAAATTCAAAGTCTGCCCAAAACGAAGTGTGGTTGGAGGCACATGTGTGTGGGCTGCAGGCCATGGACAGTACATAGGCTCACAGACAATTGTTGCTGCTGTTCTGGGGAACAATGTGCCTTGTCTGTGTTCTGGTTTTACTGCTCACATTAAGTACACAGAGACAAAATGTCCATTTGAGCCTGTGCAAGGAGGACGGGTGTGTGCCCTCTCCACCAAAAAGCCAAACAGAATTGAGCTGTTGTTGTTTCTGTGTCATACAGGCAGCAAACTGACACTGCTGTCATGTCTGCAGCTCCACAATGGTATGTACACACAAGGGGTGTTTGTCATCCAGAAAGCACTGTCTTCAGGTTTGTTCTTACCATTTATACAACTGACATCTCACTATCTAATTATTATAACTGGATCACATATTATTATTACTGCATCACATAGCTATTACTATTATACCATCACAGCTAAATAATAGAGTAATAACTATGATCTGAGTGTTTTAAGAAGTTTACCATACGTCATTTTGGAGTAACACTGTATAACTTAAATTGTGCTTGATTGACCAATGCACAATCTTTAGAGAATTGTGCAGTGTGTATGTGAGCAGGGGGCAGATATGTGACCAAATGAAGGCTCTGCTCTGTTAATTGTATTAGCCACTTTTGCAAACTCACTTGAAGTTCCATTATTTATTTTATGTGTAACTATTAAGTGTCTTCCTCCCTCATTATGTCTTCATTTGTTTAAACATACATTAGCTTTCAAATACTGAAGTAAATGAAAAGCACACAGTTTTAGGCTGCACAATGACGCCTCCAGAAAATAAAATATTTATATGTAAAGTGGGTTTTCAGTGAGTGGGCCAGGGAATGTATTTGACCTATATACCACGGGGGTGGGTCTTTGGTGTTTGGAAACATCATTCATGCTGACGAAGAGATAGAAGATCAAACACATCTCTAGCGATGCTAGGAGCCCCCTGTACTAAATTAGCTACTAATTTGAATGATTTTACTAGTTAAGTAAAAACATCTAATGCTTGCTCTAGTTTTAAGGATAATTGTGTATTTTACTTACATAATATGCATAAAATATCCCATAAATCAATCAAAACTCTGCATATTGACTCTTAAATTAGTTTGGCTGCTCCTCTGGGGTCTCACTTCCTCTTTGCAGCAATGCGCGCCCACAAGGGTGACTTGTGAGCAGCCAGTAAATGTTAACGTTAACTGAAAACATACAGCAAGGACATGCACTGCCCTCCCCCATCCCAAATACAGTATCCTCCCCCATCCCAAATACAGTATCCTCCCCCATTCAAAATACACTATCGTGTTGCGGGAACGCGCATTTTTGCAAACGGGGTCTGCAGTTTAGCCGACGCAACGCCTAATTCCTGCCTGACACTCCCTTTAAAAGCAGCAGTGCCCTTTAAACTAAATAACGACGACAGCCGAGCTTCAGATAAAGTCTACTTTAAGATCTGTAACGAAAACGGCACACGTAAAATATTCAAGTGTTATCACAAACTGCGAGATTAACTTTAAACTTAAACCGGCTGCGGATACGATTGATACAGTTGAGGACAAAAAGTCGCTCGGAGAAGCTCCGTCTGAGTCCCGGGTAATAGATGTTTACAACGTTTGCAGTCGCGCACAAACAAAAACCAAGCAGTTCTTAAGTACCAGGATAAACCATGTTGCACTTACCGACACAGTGAATGAGTTTGTGTCGCCACGAGTCTAGTTCCTGGCGAAAGCCGCGTCTGTCGATTGTGCATTGCTGCCGTTTGCACAGACTCGCCATTTTCTACCGACCCTGTGTAGGCGCGCTCCCGCTAGGAAAGAGGAAACGCTTTGAGCCAGTTGCGCGCTCCCGATCTGATAACTCACGCTTTGGATCGTGGCAAATAAACCTAACGTAAAATATATATAAAATCAAGTAAATATGCAAAACACCGGTTACAGTGAGAAACTGCCAAACTCTAGGCTCAATAAAACTATTATACCAAACACTGGGCGTGTTTAACCCTATTACAATGTAAGAATGCACAACAAAATCTTAAATAATTCCTATAATTGCGTTCATTTTATATCTCGCGATTTCAACAAAAAGACGATTGCATAGAAAATAGCGTCTTATTTTGACCAAAGGAATAATAATCCCTAACCTGTCCATTATGTTAAAATAAAATAGTAACAACAGGTAGGCTATCAGAATATAAGGATTCAAATATGAGATTTTTGCATCTTGATTCCGATTATGGCATACTTATTAGCTACGCTATAAATTGCGCAGCCTACTAGGCCTTCAACATGCGTGGGATTGCTTTGATGCATTTGAACACCAAACCATGCCAGAAACTCGAAGAGTTCAGTGTGTGGATGGGAGGTAAAGATGGGAGGTAGTGGTGGTGATGCTCTGTGGTGCCTTCAAGTGATGTCGCATCTGTAATTGTTATGACCGTTTGAACTAGAAAAAAAAAAAAAAAAAAAAACAGTATAAAGTGAAATGTTATTTTATACAGGCAACATGTTTCTGTACATTTATCACATTTACCAATGTAGAGCTTTTTTCGTCTTTTATCCTAAATGCTACTGTTAGCAATGCCTTCACTTGGCGTGTTAACCTCGCGTAAAATAGAGAACTTGAACGCGACACAGTCTTTCAGCCGGTGTTTTCATATCTTTACGCCCTCTCCTTTAAAACGGCGTTTTCAATGCTTCAGAGACAACAAACCTAGCACACAGGTAGGGTGTATGACAGCCCTTTGTATCGTGTTTTACATGTGTTTTCTCTTGAATAGTCTTTTGTCTTAACAGTGTAATAACTGTGCGTTGAGAGTAAAGACAAAAACATGCACACAGGCTATGCTCTTGCCATACGCTTGACAGACAATGCTGTTTTTTTTTTTTTTTTTTACCATATTTTATTAGACAGTTAAGGCTTTTATCTTTTAATCAATTTATTATTTAACATTGTAAATGAATACCTCAGAGCCATACTGCTACACCCAAGCCTAAGAAGACGGATAGCTTCAATGTGGAACCATCTATGTTGCAATACATCAAATTATATTGTGGTCTGTAGCCTTTAGTAAATGTAGAATGCTATTGACTTGGTTACCGCTAACAGGCTTGTGTGTCCTTCAGGAGGAATATGACTCTGACCAGGGGATCTTTCACCTATGCCAGTGGAGAAGAGTATCATGGGGAGTGGAAGGAAGGCAAGAGTGTTTTAATTCAAACGCATATTTTTGTAGGCCTATTTTTCTAATCTCAGATAATAATAATCTGGATAATACAAAAATGCATTGCCTTGATGCAAGTAACATACCACAATATTTAGTTAATACCCCCACATAAAGTTTAGGTTATCTGGTCTGATTTTGACTACCTGGTTTAGACTTTTAACCTGCTGAAAAAGAAGCTGATTGTACAGTTCTGTTTGCAGTGACAAGCCACTGATAGAATCTGCAGTGACTTTTTGAAAACAAGAATCACAAAACACTCTGCTACTCATAAAAAAATGCAATTTTTTATCTACTTATAAATACCTTTTGACAGTATACTTTCAAATATGCATGATTTTAATTATAATCCAAATAACCATAGCACTCTACTATTATTGCTTACTATTGTTTACAAAAGTCTACTTGAAACATCTTTATAATGTCTGCAACTGCAACTAAACCTGTACATACCTTGAGTCCTTTACAAACAGGATGTGAAGTTAAGTCATGCTAATTTACTCCACAAATGGGGCAGATGGGATTCCTAATTCCACAGTGAACCTGACACAACGGTCCAAGATCCTGAGGGATTTGAACATGTTGTGACTCATATGACACACTTAATAAGCTTTACACAGTACAAAATGTACAAGGACAAGGACAGTGGAATAATACTGGAATAGCAGGTACCTTTCTGCAAGAATTCAATAAATGGTCTACAAGATGGTTGGTAGATAGATAGTGTATTACAGTTATTCCCAAAGTCTGTAATAATATTTTACACTATAAATAATGTGTATTGTTTTCTCCTTACATATGTTAACAATACATTCATACACTTAATACCAGTTTAAAGAAATATAAACAAATATTTTATGTAAAGTTTCTTTCTTGCTTGTTGTGTTGATAATGTTCATAGTATGTACATTCATTCAGCTAATATGTGACAAGGTGGGTTTTGCCTCTTTGTTTTAGGTCGGCGACATGGTGTGGGCCAACTCAAGTTCCAGGATGGGACGTGCTTCAAAGGCCAGTTTGAGAATGGCCTATTCCATGGCACTGGGTCTTTAATCTTCACAGACGGATCCAGGTAACCGCATTTGTACCATAAACAGCCATACATTTACATGGACAGTAAAATCAGAGAACGCGAATAAACAGATAACTCATCATCTGTTTTAGGTGTATGTTTACATGCACATAAGAAATCTGATCCAAAACACCTGATGACATGTGTCACCATTCTTTTGAGTGATTTTGTGTAATTCTAAAATGACTCCTACAATTTTCACATCTTTTACATTGCCTCTTTCAGTTTTGTCTTTTATGTATAATTTTTTGTTGTTGAAAACTGACGAGTGTGAATAATCACAAAGACATCTCAGAATAATCACATCTGGTGTTTACATGACATTCAATAATCTAATAACTGCAGATATCATAACGATCAAATTTAGGTGTTCATGTATACATAGCCTGTGGCATTTACTGCGTGTTATAAATTGGATATATAGTGTATTCAGTTTTGCACATTTGTTCCAGATATGAAGGTGAATTTGCACATGGAAAGTTTCAGGGCTTGGGTGTTTTTAGTCGCTATGACGGCATGAAGTTTGAAGGAGAATTCAAAGAAGGCCGAGTTGAGGGTTATGGTATGGTCACATTCACAACTCATTTATGTCACTATGAGCTCAGTAGCAATGCTTGTCTTTGCTTCCAGGTTTGTTAACCTTTCCTGACGGGGCTCACGGTGTTCCCAGAAATGAGGGTCTGTTTCAAAACCACAGGCTACAGAAGAGAGAGAAGTGTTCAGGGGTGGTGCAGCGGGCCCAGGCTGCTGCCGCTAGTGCTCGCACTCTGACCCTCTGACAAGAACCATCACCACCCAAGCTGCTGAATATAGGGCTTACCAGACATGGACCTACTTTTACTTTCTCTTCACATTTTCTAATATTTTATACTACAAATGCCTTGTTAAGCCTCTGCAGTGTCTTGCAATGCATACATTTATAGATCAACCAAATTATTTCTGCACAAAACTATTCCTACTATAAGCACATCAACAGGCATTTGTGTTGTGTTTGTGTGTGCAAGAGTTTTTGTCTTGCTTTGTTCTGCAAGAGGTTTTAACCATTTCCATTTTCATGCATAGTGGTAGTACTCTGCATACTACTACCGTAAGGAAATGTGTTTTGTCACTTGCATTTGGATTCAGTGTTCACAAATGCCTTAAAGTCATTTTGTGCATGGAAATATAGGTCAAGGGTGCCTAGTTGAAAATCAGATGATGTACAGTGGCTTCTTGTTTCCCTCTGCATCATCTCCCCTAAAGTGACTGTCATCCTAATGAAATTCAAGTCTGAAGAATGTCTTGTTTAGCTGGTGTTTTGTTGGTTTTAGCTAAATCCCCCATTCTGCTAAGTAGGGCATTTGCTGATTGGTTAACTTGTTAAACCTAAAATAAAATATAAAAAAAGATCCCATTATGGTTGATAAAAATGTACTTATTTGGTTTGGTAAATTAAAAGGACAAACAAGATGGCAGCTAGGCACAAATAAAAAGTGTACCACTTTGTAAAAAACACTGAAAAAAGAGTGAATAATCTCATGAATGTACTGATTTCAGTGTAATTATTATGACTTTGTTCTACAGTGAAAAAATCATATACATGTAAGTGCATTTTGTGCTCTCACTTTGTAAGTAGCACCTGGATTTAGTTCTCAACAGAAATCACTCTTTTTTCCAAGCATGGCATTGTTGAAAAGAGTCAGCTGGCTTGTGAATACTGTATTTATTTGTTATCCTAAATTAAAGAATATATGACTTGTTATACTTGAAGCTATCAGGCCTTATACACATTTTTGTACATGAATCTTGTCTAGGGTTGAAAGCATTTTGCAACCAAAGACCATATCATTTTGTGGATGCGTGTTTTGTTTATTTGTCTTTTTCATCAAATCAATAAAGAAAATAATAATCATCCTGCCACCTGGATCTTAAATTACCTTAAACGATGTTTTACCATATTAAATAGTAAGCCTCCTTGTGTTATAGTAGTGGGTCATGGTTGGATACTGTTTGTGTTATATTCTCCATTAAACAAATCCTTTCTGAAGGAATTGATAGAGTAATGTTCGATGTCAACCAGAAACAAATGGTGCTGTCTAAGTGCCCGCTCAGACTTTCACCTGCTTGAAAATATCATTGCCATGGTTACCTTTCTCCTAGTAACAATATAAAGCTGAGTGATCAAGCCACCTATATTGCACAGTATTTTTTCTAACAAGCAGAATGTCGGTGGTTTACTCATGTACAACTAAATCCAGTTTACATAATAAATATTAAGTAGCCTAGTAATAAAGTATTAGACTGCATGAAGAAATGTGAAAATAACTTGATTATGATGTTAGATAAATGAATATTACATAATCACTAATTCTTTTTTGAAGGAAAGATTATTACATAATATGTTTTAATAGTTGGGCTATTATAACTGGCAGAGTAGCACTAATACTTAACTCTTAATCATTTTAGATGATGAAGTCATGATGAATTAATATGTCACACAGATTTACATAACCAAATTTATTCAAAAAAATTAGAATTTTAAGCATCAGTGACAGTTATCACAGAAGTGCAGTGTACGACTGATAATGTTACTTATCTTCACATAGCAGAAAAATGTGTGTCAAAAAAACCACACATTTGGACATAATGTTTCAAGTGAATTCTTATGGCCGGCATGCCGTTGGTCCAGCGTGAATAAGCCACCATTATAAACATTTGAGCCAGTGATGATAGCAGGAAAGTATGTCCCCTGATCTCCTGTTCAATCCCTGAATTTAGCTAAGGCATGCGGTCCCCTCAGCTCCAGCAATGTGTCAGAAACAACTACTGCAATGCTGCTCTTTTTACTCAAGTCTATTTACCAAGTGCCTTGAGATGTATACAATTATATGCTATATTATGCACAATTTTGTATGAATGCTGTGTTCTCACAGTAACGTCACATACATAGTCTCCCACAGCTTTACTAGCATAAACAGAGCAGAAACTGAAGGGCATAAGTGACATTTTGCATTGGATTACAGAATTCAGTCAGCTTATAGTGCACATTTACATTATTAAGGAGCATGACATGTTTAAACCAAACAATATTTGTGATTTAAAAATAAAAATGATACAACTTAATGACAAATTAGACATGAGATCAGTACAGAACAAGTGGAATAATTTGCTTTCTGATGAATATTGTGGTGCATTCAAATTTGACCATGTTTATAGAGTATTACAGAAAAGGTGATGATACATACCAGTGACACCTGAGACAAAAAGATTACAATGAGGTTAGATTAAAGATGGCATGCACTTGCAGGTGACTGAGGCTTCAAAAGTCTGTGCAGTATATCCAAAATGTCAAATTGCCATTGTTTGACCTGCTGCACTGCAGTCAGCCCCTCCTGAAAGAACACACATAGTTTTAGTGCTATGGGTAACAAAAAAATAATATGGCAAATAATGATACACAGTAGACCTACTTTATTCTGTTGGGTTATATCTGCCCCTGCAAGAATGAGCATTTTCACAATCTTGTATCTGTTGAGTCTCACAGCATCATGCAGAGCTGTGTCTCCTTCCTGTGTGCAAAATGTCAGATTAACATTTTCCAAACATTTTGGTCAACTGGTTATTTTTCTTTCCCTTAAAGCTTTAATTTGCAAATATGTTTTAGTTGTTTATGTTTGTGACTCATTTACATTTCGCTTTGTGCATGCGCATGGATAATGTACTGAACAGTTTCCTGCTCCATACCCAGTCTGTGGCATTAACTTTTGCTCCACAGGACAGGAGATACTCCACAATGATCATATGTCCCGTTCTTGTAGCCACATGCAAAGGGGTACTCCATAGCTGCAAAACACAAAATTGTATGTTTGTGAATCTGTTGTGCAGAGTCAGTATTAGAATAATTCAAACAAAGAGAAAAGTTGACAGTTACGTTATCTCGGACGTTGAGGTCAGCGCCATGGCACATGAGAGCTTGGACCACCCTAAGACTCCCCCCTCTGCAGGCCCAGTGTATAGCCACAGAACCCAGCTACAACACAGCAGGAGGGCCCCATCTGATTAGCACAGATTTTCTGCAGGCCAATTGCAGAACATAATCTCTCTCAATCTCTTCATTATCTGAACTAGCACACCTCTTACCCGGTCTGGAAAGTTGATATCTGCTCCTCGTTCCAAAAGCATTGAGACGACTGGGGGGTGTCCCTCTAAACATGCCAGATGTAAGGCTGTTCTATTTAACTGCAAACATTACTACAAACAGTAAGTGAATGATTCAAAGAGCTGCTCTATTCACTGACTTAGCTCACCTCATCATGGACATCAGGGTTCCCCCCTTTACTCAGGTACTTGAATATGACATCCATGTGGCCTTGACTTGATGCAGTCATGAATTCTGTAATGGCCACGAGTCTAGCCTGTGCAAAAAATACAATGAGACTTTGTAAATATTAGTATTAATTTTAAACCCAATATGCTCACCTCTGGAACTGAGTTCAGTGATACTTGTGTTTTTCTGCTGAAATGTCCTCCACACAATTTAAAACACCATGAGAAGTGCTGGAAGTGATTTCTACTACTTCATTAATGGACTAGTAACACACACACACAACAAAAAAAAACAATATCATATTCTGTTTCAATTTCTGGTATTGTATTGTATTCAAAGAATACAAAGAACATGCATTAATTATAAAGTAGAAAACCAATACAACCCACACACCAGGAAAGCAAGCATAAAACACAGATGGTCAGTAGTGACATGCTCCCTCACCTGCAGTCTGTTTTGTTTTTCTGTCTTGGAGTCTTCCCTACTTTGTTTCTCTTCCATATCACAAAGGAAAATAAAACATTAGCTGTCCACTGGAAACAAAACAAATGTAAGCCACAAAGTACAGTGAGCACAACTCCAGGCTGACGGACTGGCATGTTGAGTTCACAGTGGGACAGTGTCATCCCCAAAAAACAGGTGTGTGTATGAATGCCAGTATCAAAGTGTGTCCTCTCTCCCTTTATGCACACACAAACACATACTCTACACTCTTATGAGTCGTTCCAGGGCCCACTGAGGCCCTGAGCTCAAGCACATTCATTCCAACAGCTCTTATTGGTTAGTGCTGCAGCTGAAGCATGCATGTCTCTTTCACAGTTGTGCAAACATCGTAAACACTCCATTCTGGAGGATTACATTGGTCAGTCAGGTTATTTACAATAAAGAATTATTATCATATCAGATTCAGATTATTCTCCAGTTATAAACTCAAACAAATGAATAGATAGGTCATGCCTGGTAATTCCACCTGTGAGTTGCTCCTACTGAGCATACCTCAAACGCTCATTTACTTTAATGTCACTGAGTGACCATGTGCCATGTTAATGTTTAACTTGTGCCACTGAGGAATAAGGAAGAGTTCAGTGGAAAGAAAGCAGAAGCAGCCATTTTAGCTGCATGCGACAGCTACATCGATGGAGGACAGTTTATTTCACAGGTGAGTTATTATTTTCAAAGAAATTACATAAAATATATATTATTTCCAAAACATTTCAGCAGTATCTTGTTGACTCGAGTTTTCCGTAGTACAATTTGAAACATGGTGACGATGAACCACTTGAGTGTGGAGGGTCCAGACGATGGTTGTTCATTGATGCCTGAAGCAGAGGAGGCTACACTTCCATTCTCTGAGCTGCTAAAACCTGTGCAGACAACAGGGGCAAGACCAGAGACTGTATTCCTCAGCAGGTACACTTGTACACACCATGTATATCATATATATTACTAAGGTGTTAATATCTTCTGTAGGACTGTGAACTTGACCATTAGTCTGGTGTTGTTGATAAGCTGCTACTCAGCAATACTGATCCCAGCCTACTTACTGACAGCAGATGTCAGTTACCATGAACTTCCAAAAGATCTGGTATGGAATTAATATGTAATTAATTCAATGTACTGGGAATAAACTATGCTGATGTGCTTGTGTTCAGGTCTTACTAAATCTGTCAGCCTCCCTACTGTCAAGTCCATGCCAGCCTCGGTGGTGTGTGACCCATCTTCAACATCTGTCCTGTTCAGCTGGCCTCTTGAACATCCCTGTGTTTGTGCAGCAAAAGCACCCTGTGTCATGGGAGCACCCCCCTCCTCTGGGGCTGCAGGGCAGTGAGGAGCACCTGGCCCTGGCTTTAGCCTCTCTGCCTCAGTTAGGTCTGCCACCATCTCTGAGTAAGGAGGGACACTGCAGACGATGTGTTGTTGTGGGCAATGGGGGGTACTGCGTGGTAGCCATCTTGGATCACATATTGATCAGTATGACGTCATCATAAGGTGCTGCTAGTAGTTTAGTTAATTTTTGCCACAGTGTTTTAGGTAGAAAAATAGCACTGTTTCCATCATGTTCCTCTATGCAGGCTAAACAATGCTCCAGTGCCTGGTTTTGAAAGAGATGCCGGGTCCAGGACCACAATTCGCTTGATCTACCCAGAGGGAGCACCCAACTCTGCTGATGAGTACAAACAGACCTCCATGGTTGCTCTGGTGGTTTTTAAAAGCTTCGATCTGGACTGGCTTACTTCTGTCATCACCAAACAACCCCTGGTGAGCAGCACACAAAGTACATGCACCATTGCACACAAAAATAGCATGTTACATAAGCCAGAGTAACAGCAGCAACACTATCACATCATCATTGTCACGGTTTCAAATGCCTCTCATCTAGTTTCTGTATTTCTCATTCATTTTTCAAATAGAGCTTGTGGTCCAAAATGTGGTTCTGGAGGGAGGTGGTGGATAAGATTCCCCTGAGACCAGAGAACTTTCGGATTCTCCATCCAGAGATTATTCACAAAACGAGCCAAGTTCTACAGAAGTATGCACTCAAACAAGGGACTGTGAGTTGAATATATTGTATAGAAAAACCCTGCATGATTGGACTAAGGCTTCACATAGAAATCATTAAATACCCCGTCTCTTTTATCCTACTTTAAGTATGGAGGACCACAACTCATCTACACACACACAATACTACCCCCCCCCCCCCCCCCCCCCCCCACACACACACACACACACACACACAAAGACATCAAAGTATTTTCAGAGCACAAAGCATGCATCTCAAAATCATTTTTTTTCTTGACCATAGAAGTTGGAGATTTTGACTGATCATAACAAAGGGCCAACATAAAAGCATAGTTTTTAAAGTTGAATATGTGCTCTTTGCTACAGATGGTGCCGACACTTGGGGCCAGTGCTGTGGTCATGGCTCTGCAGCTGTGTGATCAAGTGAGTCTAGCAGGTTTTGGTTATGACATTCAACATCCAGAAGCAAGACTTCATTACTACGAGGAGATACACATGGATGCCATGAAAGCACAGGTATGTGTGAGACACATAATAAAGCATAAAGACACATACAGTAATGTTATCTGTGTATCCCAAAGCAGCAAAAAAGGAGAACTTGCTTTACCTATTTAATTTAAAATGCCTACATTAACCAAACAGATTTGACCTTTTCACACCTACTGATGCTTAAAACAGAAGCCACACAAAGAGAGTAAGCAACAAAATCCTACTGTAAAATGTACAAAGATGGTATGGCTGGAGGTTCATAAAAAATGCAAGTTGGCCCCATGTTGAGAAGTATGCTTCTTTACAGCATATCCTAAAATCAGAATTGGTAAACATTCAATATACTGGGCTTAATGATTATGGAAAAATATAAGATATTTGGGAGGACTGTAATTCTTTTATGAAGGGGGCATCTATATGTAGTATGATGGCCTTTGATGGAAGTTTTTAATTATAAACATTTTTCTTGTTTGTATATTTCTTTAAAGGCCTTCCAACTAAATAAAAATTCTACAATAGTTATATTATTGACATTATGTAAGTATGTCTTTTTCAGGTGGTCCATGATGTAAGTGCAGAGAAGCTCTTCTTGAGGGACTTGGTGGCTGCAGGAGCTGTGACTGACCTGACGAGGGCGATGTGAGCCACTGGAGCAGAAACTGATATTACATTGAACTGTGAATATAATCCCCCACTCATACACAAAAGTATTATATACAGCCAGACTGACCTTTACAGTGTATGGGCTTGACTAATGACTGACTAATGAATAGAAAGGTTAAATTTGATTAATGTAAATGCAGAATGCAGACATAATAATTTTATACTGTAAATAAAGCACAAGCTGCTGTTGCAGTGAAAATTCTGAAATATTTTAGTTTCATATAGTCAGCACACACATTTTATATTTATTTATATATATATATATATATATATATATATATATATATATACACACACACACACACACACATTATATATATACAATTTGCACCAAAGGTCCCATTGGAGTTAAGGACTATCATGGAAATGTTCCACAGTTAATCTACTACATATTACTATAAATAAGAGTATAAAAGTGTTTTGTAGATAACTTATTTTAATATATAAGGCAAATGTGCATTTTACATTACCAAATGTTATCAGTACCTGAAACATGACATTTGTGACAAAGTGTTATACATAAATATGAAAGGAAACATTCATAAGAAGCAAAATGTACACAAATAAAGTGTATCGCTTCAACATAGATTCAGTGCTTAAGACATAATGACAATCGACTTTATAAAGCACGGACTTACAGTTTTCATTAGTTATGGTCCAACAGGGATTGGATGTACATATATGTTGCAAAATAATAAGTGCAATATTGTGTCTCTAGAGCAGTGGGTTTCGGGAGGGCTCCCACAGTTTACTTGCCAGCTGTCTGCAGTGTTGGAGGATAATTTCACTAGGGATAATGCCCAGATGAATGGTGAACAGCTCAAAACATCGGACTACCTCCCCCTGGTGGTTCTTACTGTAAAAACGCCGCAACTTCCTGCATCACAAATCATATTCTTTGCAGTGATCTTAAAAAAGACACTTAAACAGATTACGTAAATGAAATTACAACCTGTAGTAGTCCCAGGAGAGCATCCCAATTGGTGCTGAGTCATCAGGTAGAATAGGCAAGTCCACAGCATCCAATTTGAATCCCTGAAAAGAGATGACAAGTGAATGTAGTATTTTATCACATCAATAATTACAATGTTGAAGACCGATACTTACCGTCTCATTTTCAAACCAAAGGAAGTAGCAAAAGTAGAAGTCCCCATCTCGTAGTGTGACAGTGGAATAGCCTTTCTGGAGGTACCTTCGCGCTGTATTTACTAGTCCCCAGACCTGTAAAGTAAAAAGATCACATATTTGTGAAATGTTTGCACTGCATTATTCTTAAAGGTCCTGTATTACTATTATTATTAGCCCAGCTACATCTCCAAAGCCCAAAATATTTTGTCCCATTTTTGTTCCTAGACTGGAATTATCCAAATGATTCCAGTGAAGGTGTATGGAATACAGTAGTGTTTTCCACTTGAGAGAAGAACTCTAAATATGCATGGTTTGTGTACATGTACAAATGAAACAAAACACAACTATATTTTGATGAAGAAAACCACATTATAACATAGATCTGAAAATAGCACAACATGGGCCCTTTAATGCCAATTCACCTTTCTTTTGATGAACTGAGCCACTGGACCCTTCCCCAGCTCAGATGTATTGTGCTCTGTGACATTCAGGGATGGTGCGATCATTTGTCCCGTTGACCGATCAACACAAATGAAATGGATCAGACCAGGAAACTCCTCCAAATAAGTAAAAATATGTGGGTCAAGGCTAATGAATCTAATTGGCAACTGGCAATTGGAGTTGGAGTTCGTGAAAGAGCAATACATTACATTACAAAATAAATAACACGGTTATATCATGAAAAGATATGAGACCATGGTAATATTTCTTTTACTCTTAACTAACAGGAATTCCTTCCAGTCCATCAGTTTCTCTCTAAAAATACAAAACAGAAAAGCAATTGTTTAAACATAGATGAGCTTTAAGGACATATGAGTGCTTTAAGGAAATTCCTATACTCACTGGACCAGGGTCTGAGCCCGTTCCTGTAGACCAGGACTCAAATGACGAGGAGTGTCCAGTGACCCAGAGTCAATGAGGAAACACTGGCGGTATATGCCACAAAGTTGGGTCCTCATATTCTTGCACCAAGGGATCAGACTAAAACAAGAGTTAAATTTTTACATTACATTGCATTGTTTTCTTAACTGCAATTACACTTTGATTCCTGTTGGTGGAAGCAGAGACTCACTCTTTTGTAAAGCCTGGTCCTCCTTTGGCAAATGCTCTGTTTTTGAATTCTGTCCAAACATTCAATAGGGGTATAGACTGAAAAAAAAAAACATTATTACAATACAAGTTTATAGGTTTATGGCAGTACATGTCACATGAAAGTCAAATGCAGCTGGGCAGATATACAGTAAGCTGTATATTGTTACCTGGATGTCACTGGGGCCCAGGGCTTTGATGAATTTGTCCAGCTTCCCTCGTAAGTCATTAATAGCAGGCTGACCTCTCGTAGCGGCTGAACCTTCATGGCCCTCTCGAAGACGCTTCTCCACCATTGCAAATGCTTCAAGAAACCCATAGATGGACATTGCCAAGCAATTGTTGGGAATCTAATGTTAAAACAAAATTTGGTAGGTAATTAAAAAACAAACCTTGACACAAAAATCAGTGTCATTCATACTTTAGTTAGTAGTACTAGAGAGATTCCAGGCCATAGTGGAAGACAGTACATGGAGTGAGGCATCATGGGATACAAGCCCTCTTTGTTTGATACCTCCAAAAAAACTCTTTGGGGAGTGGTTGGGTCAGGAGGGGGTACCCTCAAAGTCTGTAAGCTGTCCTCAGCCATCTAAAAAGAAAATACTAGATTAAATACTAGATATCTATGCACTGTAAAAAAAAAAAAAAAAAAAAGAAAAGAAAAAAGTACAATACAGTCACAAGACTACCTGGATGTCTGGGTCCACAAATTCAAAGACAGGAATGTCATTGACTTTCTCTATCTTACCTAAAAAAAAAAAATAAAAAAATAAATAATATATATATATATATATATATATATATATATATATATATATATATATATATATATATATATATATATATATATATATATATATATATATATATATATATATATATATATATATAACGTATATAAAATGTATATAAAATTTATAATTTTGTAAAAATGTATACACTACAATCTGTAGGCTAACTGAGCTAACTCCTTTAACATACTTGAGCCATTGGAACTATCAGAGTCTTCTTCAGTGGGCGAAGGCTCAGGAGTGTAAAAAACATCAGGCCCAGAACCAGATGTACTCTCTCCGTCCTTCATAAAACAATAAAGTAAACAGTTACGGATTGCAAACTAATTTCTAAACAATGAGTGGTGTATTCTGTATTTGTTAACCCTTACCTCTGGGCCAGCGTCGTCCAGGTCTGTGCTGCTTGGATACATATTCTGTGCCATTATAATGAGTGTCAATAGATCTGAGGTGACCAGTGAACTTGCATTGCGACTGAGCAACAAAATAAAAACAGATTTATTGTAAATTGAGAGAACTGTAAACAGCGAAAGCATTGAAGGCTAGTGAAAATGAAAGAAAATGCAAACATTTTCAGTTAACCCCTGCTATTAAGAATTAGAATAAAATAACTAATCACAGACAGTAAATTACTAATGGAATATTGTACTGATACGTTTTTGTTGCCAGCAGTTTAAATTGAAAATATCTTTCTAACTTCATGTAGCCACAAAGAATAATAACCTACTTCATGTGCTTCTTCTAAGGTTAGATAAATAAATACAGCTACATTAAAATCAATGCATGTAAGCTGTAGAGACATAGATATATTGTTTGGCTGATATCTCCAGCAGTGGCCAATATAAACCAGCTGCCTAATTATGCTTAAATAATATATGTAGAAAGTTTCAATTGAACACTTTAGTCCAAAGAGGGTATCGCAAAACAGCTCTCTTACACAATTTGTAGTAAAAAAATGTTGTGGATGAGTTTGTACTTAATTGAAATGAGATCATTTGGGCAAAATGATCAAAATCGGCCACACATATCGACCCAAAAATATCGGCAGACCTTATGAGCCATCGGTTTCTTTGGCTTCTAAACAATCAGTAAAAGTAATGAAAAAGCCCATGTTGATCGAGCTCTAGTAATTTTTTTTTCATCAAGGTATAACACTTAAATTTACCTTGAGTAGAAAGCCAGTAGTTTTGTGTGAACCAGTATGAAGGCATGCATCACCTCCTCTCCCACTCTCTCCGCACTGCTGTTCAACTGCTGGACTAAACGTCGCTCCAAAAACTCTATACATTGTTCACACAGTGTTGGGTGAATCAGCCTTTCAACTGCCTGAAGAAGACATGAAATCAAAGAGACATGAGGACATTAGTGGTAAATATTGTAATACTGTAAACATTTGACCTATAAGCTCCTTATTAGTGTCAATGGTTAGATGATGGCTGGGCATTAGTCTGGGTGAACATGTGCTCTTAAGTCAGTCCAGGTGCTCGTGTGCAGAGAAGGTCTAAATGATCCTGCATGTTTCACCACATTTCCTGCTGCGCCTCATTAATGTGCTCACACTCATAAAATCTGCGTTTTAAAGGCTTGTTTTTATGGTCTGCACTTCTCTGTAATGTGGCTGAATTAAAAATGTTATGACTCAAACATGAATAATTTTTTCTAATCCCAATCTTAAAAAATCAAGGATGAGTAACAGGAAATATACTAGTTCATCTATGCATTTTACCTCCACTAAAAAACTTTGGTCATTTTCACGTAGGTGGCTGTATGTCTCCAGTAAACTCTGTAGTTGCTTCCATAGCCTTGCTCGTTGCTCTGTGTCTTGAGGTCGAAGTCTGAATACACACATTGTAAAAGAAAAAAAAAAGGAAGAACAAAATACAACGTATGACTTAACACATTATATTGACCCATTTTGTTTTTTTTTCCCTTACACTTTGTTTTTTTCCCTTACTCTTTTCGCAAGAGGGTGCTGCTTAAGGTGACCATCCCAAACAGCACCTCAATCATCTTCTTCATCACATAGATCTTCCTCCTTAGGTCATCCTCATCCTCGTCTCCATCCCCATTCACAGCAATATAGAGACACTCGTCAAACTGCAACATAAACTCATGAAGGTACCAAGTTGAGGATATTACTGTGACAGAAGTAGAATTAGTGGGGTGTGGAAATACCCAAACCAGGAAGATAAATTAAGTTAACTAAATGATATTGAACAACACTTTGGTCATCAGTTGTCACTTTTTCATTGTTCAAAACACAATTAGTTAAAGTTACCATATTATGCTATTTCTGATCTATGTTATAATCTTGTTTCCTCGTCACAAACATACCTGGAGTTGTGTTTTGTTTCAGTCAAACAAGTTTAACACACAAATCCTGCAGTTCTTCTCTCAAACAGATAACACACTGTTCCACTTTTTGATGTCATGTGGTAATTTTAACTCCATACACCTTCACTAGAATCATTTGAATCTTTTTAGCTCTGCCATTGTCTACTGGACAAAAGGTAAAAGGTAGCTGTTAACTTGAAAACTACCTCTTCATGAGATCACAAGGTGAAAGAGCTTTGCAGATGTAGACAGACTAATGATAAAGGATTACTCAAACATGTGTGAATGAAACAAAACACAACTCCAGGTATGTTCATGATGAGGTAACAACTTTTTAACATGGCTAAAAGCTCAGAAGAATCAAAAGTGCATAATACAGGACCTTTAATTTGCTAAAAACAAATGAGGAAGGATCTAAAACTTTATAGCTGATACACGGTTGGTCCCCTTAGTTTAGGGACCACATCTTAATTGCTAACTTGTAGTAATGGTATAATAAATCATTAATTAATTATTTATTTGTGTAAATTACCTATTAATGATATGTGTAATGTTATTTATTGTATTTAACAACTATTAAGCCATTAACTATTAACTATTTTCTTCTCAATAATTTAAGTTGTTAATCATAATTAATCTTAATCACATTTTTCTAGCATCACCTTGTTATTACTGCACATTTTCTCAACTATTCTCTGCTGCTTAACCACTAACAAACATACCAATTACCAATATACCAATATTAGGGTGTGGCTATATGTTGCTGTATATCCTTGCCACAACCTTTATTTAATGCAAAATGCTATGGATATGAAGAGGTTGTACATTTGTGTTCTAAGACTGTGTTAAGGAACAACGTTTTAGGTATAGTACTGACTGACAGATAGTGTAGGCCTGTCACAATAATTACACAATATAACTATATATTCTGGGGCTCAATTCATGTTTGTGTGTAATTTCTTTTTAACAGTGGGGAGATGTGGGGTATTTTTTGTTGTAATACAATACAATGTTGTAACGATTTGAGCTGTAGAGGAGCTGTAAAGGACTTATTTGTTGCAATTTATGCCTTTCAATGATACTGTCTATTTAAAAATGGTTTACTGGGATTATCTTGCCTTACTGTGTCAATATTATCATTTATCATCATATATCTCTGTAGCAATTTATCATGTATCAAAATTGGTTATTGTGAGAGATGCCTAATGTAGTCCTCTACATTTGGACAAAGCTTAACTTGATTCCAACACAGGAGTCACATGACAGGCTTTCCTTTTCATTGTAATAGCCAACTACACTGACACCTTTACTGTTCCCATGAAATAGTAGACTGGGCAATCTAAAACATGTTTCTATTAACCTGATGTAGGACATATATGTGGTTGTTCTCAGTGGTAAAAGAGGCATAGGTATCGCCCAGTCGGTCCACCATCGTGATGCATGAGATAATGATGGGGGCAAACAGGGTACTGATGCTGTCCTCAAAGGCTGGGAGCTGAAAAGAGACAAAAAGCAGAGCAGAAACAGAGTTTGATAAGACGACTGAAAATGGTCCCCCTGCTGTGGGACAATTAAAAAAAATCTTTTTTGGGAGATATGGCTGTCTCACCCCATGGCCTTCTTCCTGGGACGCCCCATACTGCTGCTGAATATTCTGTTGAAACTCTGGGTCAGTCCAGTAGAAGAGGACCTCCGCACTCTCACTGGCAATCAATAGGCACTTCATGTGGACCACGGATGCCCTGCTTCCTGCTACAAAAAGAAGTACTGTGTTTACATCCTAAAGTAATAATGCTGGGACAATGGACAAAGTTATAGCTTTGTCTTTTTAGTTCAAACTAAAGATAGCATGTCTGCAATGTATTTGAACTCCTGTACAAGTACTATCTTATAATAATAGTGGCCTACTTTCTTCTAACGCACTGTGAAATCAGCTCACTCAAAGAAATCTTAATGTGTCTTCCACCCCACCTACCACCAGTCACCAAAAGTTTACCTTCACTGATACGAACCATTTGCTTATATTTTGAAATAGACTAGCCTATGTTTTTTATCTTTGATTCCATGGAACAGTCCAGTCCGAACACTACACGCCGCGTTTTACACCACACCACTGTTTACTTTTCTTGCAAAAGAAACTTCCTCGACGCGCTTACAAACAGCGCAAGTGAGACGCACACGCACAGTTATATTACGCCTCAACAGCACTCACTTTTCCGGACGAGACGAGCCCACCATCAGTGTCCACTTGAGAGCTTCTGGATGATTTAGAGGGGTTTCAACGCAGATGTCAACATGCGTCTTTCTCCTGGGATCCTTCCTTTGGCCGCTACAGGCGGAGTCATGTGACATGGTGAGGTGTGCGCGCGCGGCTGTGCTCACCGAGGCAGAAGCAAGTCACGTGCGGGAGCCGAAAGTGGGCCGCATGACCGCGCGCTCAATGGCTTGGTATTTCAAATATGTGGATTGAGATTTAACATAAGAAGGGTCGATTATTGGTCTAAGTTTAGAAAATAGCTTACAGACAGACTAAATATCTCAATAAACAAAACTTAAAAATGTTGACTGATACTGAGTATCTAATTTTTATTGTGTAAATATATTATCGTCACATCCTACTGTCAAAAACATAAAAAAAAAAAAAAAAAAAAATGAAACATTTATTATTTCTTGCTGTAGCATATGGCATTAATGATCAGGACTGTTCACCATTCAAAATAAAGTTTATTTAGTTTAAATGGTTAATTGCTATGACAGTCCTAGTCATAATTATGTATACAGTCTGGCTTAATTTTTATTGAAAGGAAAAATTTTGGGTCTAATAAATCCAACTCTAAACTAGGTTTCAAATTGCCCTTGAAAATCCAGCATCATTGTATAATGTAGAGTGAAATGTTCGCCAAACTCTATGGCCAGAGAATGTTTTGATGGTTACAACAAATCCAAATATTCCCCAGATTGTATGCCTGAGCCCTGCACAGTGCAACGAACCCCATAGTAACATAAATATTTATGTTTTATTAACCTTGCTTCAGTCAAAATGTTTCAAAATGCAGAGTTTCAAGTCTCGGCCAGGGTCTAATCTAGTCCATCAGTTTTGAAGAGATCCTGCGTTCATGAAAAAACTTATTTAAGCTGACTCCTGTATATACAAAGTAAACATGGAGAAATCCTCAGTGTTTGCTAACAGGGTGAAGGGGCCTTGCATGTCTCAAAATGGATCTGGAGCATAAACAGTGCAGGGCAGGCCAGCCGAGCAGTTACCTCCACTAAGGAGGCACAGTCACGCAGGAGTGGCTAGACCTGGGCCAGTGCTCCTAAATCACAACACAATTAGATTTAACCAAGGAAGTAACCCTCAGGACTTATTAAGATCTCAGTGCCTTAAAGGTCAACTCCAGTATAAAGATAAAACATCTGAACTATAAGCACTAAAAAGATAAAACAAATGCTTAAGCAGTTTCAAAAGTGGAATTTGTTACAATAACACAGTAATATTATGATTCAGCAACAAAACAAGAAGCAATAAACAATCCAGTAGGCTGTTGTGTAGCACAAAACTATCAATGCCAAAGAAATATGCAACTCATTGAACAGTGGAGCATTGGATTCACTTTTCAAAATTCAATAAAGTATAGCATAAAGGAAAAACACAAATTTAACACATTGTTGGATTTTTGTGAGTTATACTTAAATTTGGTATAAATTACGATATTTTTGTAACATTTTACATGTTCTGAAACTGGTCAAAGACAACCAGAGAAATTTGGAGCTAAAACAGGGCTTTGTAACTTCTGAACTTCCTGAATTCATGTTTTTCATCAACAGCTGCCATAATGACACAACCAGCTTCTCATTGCAAAAAGCCAACCAAGTTTCTTTAAAATGATGAACTCATAGTGAGGCTGAACAATTTGTGAAAAATATCTAATAACAAATTTTCTGACAGACATCACAATTGTGATTAGATTTGCAATTTATATTTTACCAACAGGATTCTAGTAAAAGAAGTCCAAAAAGACTAAAATATGAACTGACAAACTAATACAAGAATAACATTTAAGAACATGTTTGTGCAGATCTAAACTACAGGGTTAGTAGTGTTTATTCAAAATAACAGAAGATATTTTGTATTTGTGAGAAAGAAATGCTAGTACTTCAAAAAACATGCACCGAGTTGAATTAACATAGGAATTTGAAAACATGCTTTGCTTGCTGGCTACTGGCTAATATATATGATGCAATGTGGTGTTCAAACTGTTTATTATCAATGTAAACTTTTGTACAAAAATAATATTATCAAACTTTACATACAAAATACTTTGTAAAGAAATATGAACAACATCTCCATATAAACACAGGGAAACATAAAGGCAGTATCTACTTTGGCAAATGAAAAATAAAATACATTGTTACAACAAAAAGCAGAACGTTCAAGTGGCCCCGTAAGAATTCTGTTGATAATAATAAATCTGAGTGAACTGGCTTTGGAACACATCTGCTCGCTCACTTAAAAAGATACGTACTATATTATACTTTTGGACAAGCTTATAAACAGATAATATTAACCATATAAATAAGTGTAGTGTTAACAAAAATATAAGCAGTAATCTTCTCAATATTTGTCTTTAACAAACACCTGTACAAATATGCAAATAACATAAGATCACTACAATATAATACATAGCAGCAAATATGATTGTACTGTAGTCTATAGTCTCGTTAAGTCTATTATTTTTGTTTTTCAGTTTTTAAATGAATTTAGATTCAGTTTACGCAGATAAAATCCTAATCTAGGTACATATGCTTTTCATTTTTTTTAACCAAACTAGAGAAATAATATTTTCTGATAATAATCACTGAATATGTAACTATAATATGGTATATAATATATATTATTTAATATGGTATATAATGTAAATATTTTATTTTTGAAATTACATTGAAAATAAATCTTGTTTTGTCAGCTTCTTTTACTGAAGAACGTTAGGACATTACATGTAAAATATAGCTTCAACAGAAAAGTTCTATGATATGGCTAATAAAAAAAATATAAATTTTTTCAGTGGAACGTCACACTTTTGCACACTTCAGTAGTTTTGTTGATACAGACATATGCACACACACACCCACCCACCCACACACACACACACACACCGCATAGCATTTAGCAAACATGCATTTCCTTTTTTGAAAAAAAAAAAAAAAAAAGTCAGAAGCTTGTGTAAGAGACTTGGTTGCAATTTTCCTTTGTTAATTTTTCATCACACTAACATTCCTGACCAACAGCAATAACTGAATCACATTTTAGAAAATAGGGTAAGTCAGAGAGTAGGAATTTCTCAAAAACTTCAGTGCAGCAGTTTGAATGAAAAAAGGTTTGGTTGTGTCTTGTGAATGAGTATGACCAACAGGTCTGGACCATCTGAGGACATACTCACAGAGTTTATGAGTGTCTGGGTGAAGATGAAAAGCAGTAAATGTTATCTCCTGCAGGCGTACGCATTTATGTTTCGAATGACGTAAAAGCCGATGGTCATCGGTGGCAGAGTTATTGTCCGTCCAGCCCTCAGAGTCTTTGGCTTCAGCTCAGGGAAAGTCTCATTGTCCAACATCACCAGCTTCTCCCCATTTAACTGGACATGCCTGCCCCACAAGACCAGAAAAACAAACATTATTATGGGTTAAAGAAAAAAAAACAAAAAAACACTTCTGTATTTTGTCACACCATAAAAATGCATAACTTGTACAGGAGGGGGTGCTATAGAGTTATAACGATACACATTTCACGTATTCATTGCTTGATCTACTTTCTTGAGGATTGGTTGTTTAACTATAAAGATATAATACAGTATTATACAACATTCTACTTTGTCCATATCATTGCCAAACTTTAATGTTGGACATTTTGAATTTTGCCTTGACTACTGTTGCATTTTAACATAGTATTCACAGTTGGCTACAAGAAAATCCTGCTTAACCTACCTAATATTAATAATAATTTTGTGAAATTGAACAATGCCAACAATTCTACAAATATAACTGATTCTTTGTTCAACTGATCTTTTTATTATAAAAATGACATTAAATAAGATCTGATATGATCAAAGATGATTTCTAAATTAGATTTCAATCGTTTGATTTTAACTGCTGATCAAGCTGCAAAAGTAAACAGATGTGTAGTCGTAAGCAGTATTTCTGTTTCACTGTAAAGTTCACAAATTCAGATTTGCTCAAATGCTTTATGTAAAGATAGACATAAAATTATCTAATAGTTTACCAGGTAGGACAAAGAAATTCTCAAAGCTCTAAACAAGCCAGGAGCAGACTCCTAACTGGCATTATAAAGTCCCTAAAATTTATAGACATCTGGTGTTGCTACGTTCTCCATGCAGCGCTGCAGTAAAGGAAAGCAGTTAAGGCCTGAAAAAGGCCCATAGTTAGCTCACACTCCTAATAAGTGCCTCCCGATCCTGTTGTCACACCTCAAACATCCTCGCCAGTGCACTGTTATGGAAGGATCAGCCTCAGCTCTGTTAGTTCTGTGTGAGGATAGTGTAACTCACACACACAGGGGCCTCAGTCATTAGACTGTTAGTGCAGGATCTAGGGCTTAGCCCTAAAACAGAATAACAGGCAAAGCTTAAAGAGCACAGAGAGGGGATGCTTTCATTTTAATGGATATTATGCTTAAAATAAGCCAAATTTTCTGGTTATAATTCATAATATAATAAATATGAAAACATATTAAGTAAAATAACAAAAAGAAAACAAACTCATTGCTCTTTCTAAACTTCTAAACATTTGTCCTGAAACTTTGCTCTGTTTATTATCAATTAATCAATTTATAATCAATTATCGGATATTTTCTTTTATCAAATTTGAATTCTTGTTATAAGAATGCTACAGATGTACTGATGTAAAGAGTTGCACTTACTTGGCCCTGAGCCCCTCTGTGCCATACGGCTGCAGCAGGTACTGGTGCACTGTCTTGTTGCGTAGTGTTCCTGCTAGTTTAATTTTCTTCCGTGAGCGGTGCAGGTTGATGATGTAGATGGTTATGGAGCCTCTGGCGTAGTTATGACTGGAAATTATGGACAGAAATTATAAGCATCATTACATTACGTATTTAATTTCTACAGGAAAAGCTAGTGCAAGAAACCAAATGTCTGCAGCTCACATCTGCTGTCGGGGTCTGCCATATATTATGATGCCAAGTGGGATAAAATTCCTCATAATTAAAATGACTACAAAGAGAAGAGTGCCTTTGATATTTTTATCACTTAACAAAAGGATCAGACTCAATAAAACAGAGGAGATTTGTGGATGCAGTCCACACAAACCAACAGCCTTATTTGTCCAAACTATCAGATTGTAATTGTCAAGTCACTTTAAGTTATGAATTGTTAGTTACCTGGCATTATTGAGATAACCTGAAAACATTTATATATGAACACTGTAACTCAAAGCAAAAAAAAAAGAAGATATTTTATACATATTCATAAAAAATAAAAAAAAAACTGTAAAAATCTATATCTTATTATCAGGCCGCAAATTCAGCATAACATGTCCTGTGCACTGTTGCACTGTTTTCTCCTTACGGCCTCTTAGAGATATTTGTATTACTATATCTCTATATTTTATTTGACATCAGTCTTTTGTTATTTTTGCTAGTTATTTTGAATCTATTATCACCATTTTTAACATTTATATTTTTGCTCTTTGTTATTTTAATATATTGTGATGTGTGAGCTACTGTGCCCAAATAATTTCCTGTGTGGATCAATAATGTTTGTCTAAGTCTAACTCTGTAATCTACACTTTGATATTAGAAAAGCAAAAAAGAAAAGCAAAAAAAAAAAAAATCTTTTCTCTTTCCTGCAGTCTAAATTAAAAGCTGTTAAGGGTCAGGCGAATGGTGTGAATGTGGTGGACGATGCTTCTTGAGTTACACGGACTCCTGAGAGCTGAGCGCACTGACTGACCTAATATAAGGATCCCAGCTCAAAGTAAATAACTACGTGAGGCAGATAAGACAAACATGATAAATCTAATAAGGGCCCAGATATGAGCACAAAGACAACACAGCTGCACTGAATAACACAGTCCACTCTGCGCACTTAGCACCTACACAGTTTCACATCTCCAAAGTTATGTTGCCTGATGGTAGGCTTTTTATGCATGCTTTTCTGGGCAGAGTGTCTGGGGAATTTGATAAAACCTCCAGGATTTCTGATATTTAATGAATTTAAAAAGAGCAATATGCATGTTGATGAGTTTCATCTTTTAGTTGAACCTTTGTTTTGAGAAACAAAACGTGTGGACGGAGACTTGCTGTAAAACATCACATGGTCAGATGGAGGAAGAGATAATGACCTTTCAAGACTTTTAAAAGAGGATCCTACAGACCAAAACCAGAAATATAAACATATGTTGTTCCTGTTTGATGTTTGAGGATTGCTGGAGAGGGGAGAAAAATGTAATCCAAACCACTAAAAGGGGTAAAAGGGCAGAGAATGTCAAATATCTGTAATCAGTAAAGGCTTTTCAAACGATGGACAGCCTGAGCACATTTATAGGATTAAAACACTGCAAACATACTACATTCAAACCAATTACACTGCAAAGGAGTGTCCACTTATGAAATAGCTCTGGAAACCACACTAAAGCTTGGGCAATTTCAACATATTTACAGTGTGATACACAGAAATATGAACGAGTGTGGCTGAAGTTGGCAGAGTGATTAGCATTCAAGCCTCACAGTAACAAGGTCCTGTGTTTGACTTCATGATCATACCAGCCTTTATTTGTGGAGTTTGCAAATTCTCCTGTGTTCATATGTTTCACTCAACACTCTACAGATCAGGCAGACCAGAGTGGGACCGGAGGACAAATGATCTATCTAACGTAAAGTAATGTCATATAATTTGTATGTATAACAGAATTGGTCATGTACTCAAGCCTCATCCATTTTTCTGTGTTAAAGGTACATTGTGTAACTTTTCTGGTGGAGGGTCCGTCACCTGCTTGTTTCTGTGGATATGACATTGCTCTGCCTGGAATGTTCCACAGTATGAGATTAAACAGTACTTTACATTTTATTCAATTACAGGTGATTTTATAGCTCAAAAATACCTAGAAAAACAGGCATTCTTCTTACTGTGAGTGGGGTTGAATTTCCACAGATGCGACCTGTAACTAGGTATGGTTTGGTCTCCATGAAAATAGAAAGGTTTAATATTATACTGTGAATTATTCCAGACAAGGCAGTTACATCTCAATGGAGAAAAGCATTTGGCGGACCCTCACCCAGAAAAGTTCCACAATGCACCTTTAAGCGTTTTCTCTCTACCTCTGAACCATCTACTACGACCTAAGATCTGTAATTGATTCCTGTCTGGGTAGAAGGTCGTAAGTCTAGCCCAGTGCTGACAGCCATGGGCCCAGGTTAAATGATAACCTTGAACAAGTCCATGATGGCACTCTTCATCTCCTCCTGGGACAGACCGCCTTATTGTCCTCCCTCTCGCTCCTCTGTACCCCTCCAGCCAATCCGACCAGGCATAAAGGCCCAGAACACCTTTCAGCGGGCTGGCCCCACACTCCTGATAAGTGATACCCGTTAAGTTTTATAGGCTCTGAGCTGTGAATGAGCGGGTGTCTGTGGTAAGCTTATTTATGGGAAGATTTAGTTCTTTCCAAGCAGACACTCAGGCCTCAGGTGTTCACCAAAAGGATTCAGAGAAAAAAACTGAAAAACAAGGCCGTCTGTTTTCTATCTAAACTTTCAAGGTCATTCACAAGCAGCGCTGCAAAGGTTAAGAGGATACAGGCTCACAAGGAGCTAGAATAAGATCAACATTTGTATGAAGAGCTAGACATACTTGGAGAAGCTGGTGCAGTGGGCGTAGATTCTGAGTTTGTCTCGGATGACCCTCCCCGGCTGAGGCTTCCTCTGCAGACCTGCCACTCGCACCCCTAACACCTTGGGACCAACCAGACGCTTGAAGATCAATGATACCCAGTAATCCTACAACAAGTACAACAATAAAGTCACAATTAAACATGATTTAGGTAGACACTTAAAAAGTTACAAGAGTAAGGATTATGTGTTATTTCCTCCTCAAATCTAAATTCAATACGTGTAAGCTTAACATTGAGCTGTCAAATTGTCAGGTTTGATTTAACAAGAACTGACCAATGGTAAAAATCACAGGTCTTTAATATGATGTTTGCTATAAAATATGATGCTTTCTGGTGCAATACTGTTTTGTGTTATCATTGCTGAGTGGTCAGGCATACGGCGTCTCCCTCTACAGACTACACAGCCTCAACACCTCTCACCAAACCCAGAACAACATGTGTTCCTCAGGAAGTTCCCATGCAATCCTGCATATGGCAACATTTAAGGGCTTCTTTTTCCAAGCAGGCTTTAACTTAATTTGCTGCAAAGGCATCGAAGAAGCAGAGCACAGTATGGAACTGTAGTGCTGGCCACAGGCAGAGTGATGGATGGATGATATATGGCCAAAGCTGTAATCTTTGATTATGACATATTTAATCAAACAAAACACAGGTACTGACTCCAGTCAGTTTGATGCTGTGCACACTTCTCCATCTATATTTTTATCTTCTGATTTCTAATGAGAAATGTTTATGAATCAATTACATCACTTATTAATAGGCAAAATTAAGCATGCATAGCAAACAGTTTGGGCCTTTAGCATTTTCAGTAAATGAGAGATTTTATTTTAGTGCCATGGCATCTTCTAATTAAATTGGATTTATTTTCAAGTTTCAATTAAATTAGGCCATAATCATATCCAGGAAAACAGCACTATAAACTTACAGAATGACAATTTGTTTTCATTAAAATTTACAAGGTAACAAGGTCCGTATGTTAAATTAGATTATAGGAAAATGATCACATCTGTAGTTTGTAACCATTATAGGCTATTAGATGCACAACTGTTTTCACAAATGCAAAAGAGCTCTTTGGCAAAAAGCGAAACCATAAGTGAATCTCGATAATTCCACATTAAAATAGAGGGTGGGATATGCACATGTAAAGGCTGGGTAATTCAAAGGCCTGCCTGGATTCGACATCTCCAAACCGAGCAGTGGTCCTGGGAAGGGGCCAGGTCATAAATCGTGCTCACAGAGGACAGGTTGGCCCTGCAGTGAATTCTCTCAGCAGGTAGGCTGCTGCAGCCCTCAGACATCCAGCCATGTTAAAAGCATTGTGATCCTGGTGGGGGACTGTCATTCCCAGAAAAAATACGGAGACAGGGGAAAACTGAAGCAATTTCGTTTGTTAATAGTTCTGAGCTACAAAGAAATAAACAGAGGAAAGCAATATAGAATATTCTTATTGAATAAAAATCAATCATCAACGCGAGGTGCCCCGTAGACCAGCACGTTTCCTGATTTGGTATAGGAGCAACATCTTCAGCCTTCAGCTTATTAAAAACGTTTATGAGCTTAATAAATCTTGTTTATGATCCATGCCTGTGTTTTATCTCTCCTTCACAGTTCTAATGTACAAAAGACAACAGCCTCAAGTAACTGTCCTTATTCCTTAAAATAAACATTTTTGTATTTGTTTAAAGCTTTTAAATTGTTTTGACTAGTGACCTATTGTAGTATTTTATTTTGATCATTTTTCATGAACACATTGATCTTCTTGCATCTCATGTTGCACTCTGTCACCAGGCAACAGTCCAGCATAGAGGTGTGGGGCTCTCACAGTGTCCTGGGACAGCTCCTGACAAAGGGCTAAGGTTACATGGCATGTCGCCCCCACGTCTAACCACTCAGCACTACTAAATGCCTTTCATCTGACATAATAGCTCCCACGGGAAAGAGCTCGAGGTGCCATCAAGGTACCAATACTAAACTTGGTACTGGACAGGCCACAGAAGAACATGAAGGTTTGGGGAGATTGTGTACAAACTGAATTTAAGTTAATTCACAAACTGTTAGGGCTACACTACAACAAATACATTTGAACTAAAGCTCTATTTAAATATTCTGGTAACAGTATTTTGCAGTGCAATCATAAACTGTATATTATAAAGTAAATGGGACTCACAGGTAAAGGGTTGAAATTCTGATCCACAAGATGTGTGTACCCATAATCAAAGAAAGAGTGACGCAGGACGACGTCAATCCCCTGAACAGCAGCTACACCGAGAGTGTTGATCCATCTATGAAACATACATTAACAAATACAGTTTAACTGATACAGAACTGTTAAATCTTTGTGAATGTGAAAGTACTTACAGAAACCCAGCTGCATATGTTTGAGAGAGGTTATTGATGCCTCCTGTCCAAGCAGGGCCCAGTCCACCCAACCACACCTTTTTACCTGTGGTGTGTGTTGCCACGATCTGCAAGATGACAAGCTTCAATCATTGTCAGTACATGTATTAACCACAATAATAATAAAAAAAAAGTAAAGGGCTCACACTAGCCAGTTAAACCAGACCAATGAGTTGTTGTACAATTGCACTCGTTTATATAAATTTGGACCCCTTCTTTGATATTTTGGCAGGATCAGACATTGGGGTGTAGAGAGGGGTGGGGTAAGGGAGGGTTTAAATTTTTAGTTTAATTTTTGTTCTTGTTTTGTACAATATTAAAATCAATTTAAAAAGTCATAAAGGGAAATATAGATAGACAAACTTTGGCTCAATATAGCAGCTATGATTTAAACTGAATAGCCTGGATTTTGTTCCAGGGAATGGTTGTCCCTCCAGCACTTTTGGCACTAGTCTGACATTGAAAATCAGCCACAACGTCACAGTGCACAATATTAAAAATACATCCTCCTTGCCCCGAGGACTCACACACACATGGCAGTATCATCCAAGATCTGGACTCATAACTTGGCCAACACAGCACAAATGCAAATGTAGAGCTGGATTAAATTATGTACTCTTCAAAACATTTAGTCTGACCTTATTTCTCAGGTTGCTTTAAATCATGCTTTATTAACATTTAACACAAATGCCCTGTTTAGTATTGAAATGAGGCAATGACGGACTTACCTTTATAACTTTATTGATCTGATCTGTAAGTGTGTCCATCAGTCTGGTTTTCAGAAAGTCCTCAACTTTTTTCACTCTGCCATCCATGAAATAACTGAAAGAAAAAAAGCCCATTACATAATATTATTTTATAACTGTAATGTACAGTAAATTGGAGTAAATCTCTTTGTACTGCTTTTAACTTGTAGGACTACACACTTTCCTGTTCTATTCAGAGATGTTTATTCTGATGTCCCAGAGATAGCAAATTCCTACATGATGGCTGTTGAATGTATTATTTTGCTTACCAGGTTGTGTATGTGCTTTGAAAATAACCTCTGGTGTTATCAGTGCATGCATCAGTAAGTGTAAGTCTGTAGTTTTCATAGTGCCAGAACAGCACTGTAAGTCTTTGGTCATTTAGCCTATGAATCGATTCACTGACCAAAATTTGTATTTGTCGACAGCACAGCAGAAAGGAAAGGGAAAGAGAGTTTGAGTTTTAGGAGAGACTGGGGTGTTTATTTGCTTTTCTACATATAATCACATAGTTTGTTAGTACTTTTCTATATGAATAGTTATAATTGCATAAATGTCCATGAGCTTGGGATCTTGTGGGTGCAGTTTAGGTCAGATGCACAATCAGATTATAGCGCCATGCTAAAACCCCTTTTAGCTGAGTAATTGCTGCACAGTTAGTTAGTACTTAGTTGACCAAGAATAGTCGACTACAGCCCAAGGCCAGATGACTATGATTCTTTAGAGCAAATCTGATGGGTGCACATTCCAACATGTAAGAGATGCAAAAAACAGTGTTTATTTCTATAGTCAATCCCATGATACTGATGGCACACAGCCTGGCATCTGTGCTGCTGTTTAAAGCACATGAATACTGGGCATCACATCTATTTGTTTATTTGACAGAGACATAACAGTTAACAGACATAACAGACATAACAGCTAAACACTGCCATCAAATGCTATGGCTTCGAGCTTAAGGTTTTTCATGGTGTCCTGTACAGATTTTTTTCAGGTGTAAATGTATTTGATAAAGTACAAGCAGATCAAACCAAGTGTTTTATATCATTCTTTTATGACTGTCTTGTTCCCAGATGCGGACCAACAGAACTTTGTATCAGTCTGCCTTTTAACAGATAAAAGGTGTAAGACTCCACTGGAGTACTTCTAAGTTGGGCAGTTTTTTTTTTAGTTACATTGTTGTTCTATTGATATTTGTTCACTAAAGCTGTAGTGAAAAACATTCCACCTGTAAACAACTGACAAAATACTAAGAATTAGCAAAGAATGGTGTCACACTGTAGTAAAATATATAACCCTGACCATAATGATAACTCTGTGATGCTTAGGCTCAATAGTAAAAACACATGCACTTTTGCACAGTGTGCAGAGTGTGGTCATATTGCTGAGGTTGAAAGTGAAAACATTTACAAGCACAAGTGATGAAAGTAAAGCTTTCATCACAACAGAATCACAAAAGAATTAATACGATTATTTGGCAAAACAAGTGTTTTCACATTGGTTCACTGAGCAGTTCACACCACTAACAGCCAACAGCTTCAGCAATTAGGCTTCACAAGTTTGTGTCTCGAGGCTACTCCAGCACCAAAGAGCTGTGCAGCGGCAAATTTGTCTCATTTAGTGTTTTACCTCATATTTTCACAGATTCATCTGGAAATCATTAACCTTAACACCAATAAGCTGTCCATCTTAATTGAAGCTATAGGAAGCATCTGCACTAGCTTTAATCTTCAAGTATTTAAACACGGACACTGTACATCTATTTAGTTGTGGATTTTACTCTCAGTGTTAAGTGGTACCAATCAGTAAAACCAAACTTTTACTTTTCATAATAATCTACACAAAAGAAAAGACCATACAGCTGTATTTACAAACTGAAAGGAGAAGGAACAATGCAGTAAAGAATGTCATAATGATCATAATAACATCATGCAATTAAAAAAATTATTGATTTTTTTTCTTTACAACCTTACTTTATTCAACTTTTGACTCATATGTGGTTTCAACTTGCCTCTGTTGTGATTTGGTGATGTTCAAAATAATATGATTTTTATATCCTAGGAGGTGAGCAACCATCCTATTGTTAGATGTGTGATTTGCAGTAGCGAGAGCATTTTGGCCCATAAAAACAAGTATTCGTGACTAGTGTGACTGTGAATCTCAAATTAAGTCTTCTCACTTACCTCAAAGGAAAGGACTAACCAGTGCAGTAGAAGTGTTAATGAGCGGTCCCTGTTTTTATTAGTTTGGCTTCTTTGTAGAGGTCGCCGTTACTGTCACGCAGCCTGGTAAGACTGGAATCCGGAGCACTAGTGTAAAACTGCCTAATTGACAAGGAAAATGAGCCCACGCATATGGTTTGGTTTTAACAGTGTGGGTGGTGTTTTGCTAAGCCTTACTGACAAGCCTTCCTCCTTCCGTTTCTTCTAATTTCTCCTAATTAGACCTGACCTTCACCTTAATGGCCAATCAGTCACTCTCCTCCCAGACTTGGGCTCGGCCTTAACTGGGAGTGACTGAAATGGCGTTTTTATGTGTCTACACAGATACTGGGTTTGTGTGCATTCCTACAATATAAGCTTCGGACACATGGCAAGTGTTTCCTTGGCATTTAACATACGCTGTTTCAGCTGCTTCTCAGTATGGGAGATTAACACAGTGTGCTAAAGCATCTACAAAAGGATTCAAAGACAATGTGTCCTGTAACAATCACTATATCAACCTACAGAAAATGAATAGAATAAAAAGGGTAAAATACCTACTGTTGCCACGTAACCGCATCTACGATAGAGCCCGCATTTTTCATAAACCTAGGCACAGAAAACAGGTGTCAAATGATTTTATAATAATTTCCATAATAATGTGTAAATTCTACACATAGAATTGGAGTAGGTTTGTGGAACGTCTAGTTTTACCCAAGTTTGGGAAAGTACTCAGGGTTGTATAAAGCTATCAGACACAAAGAAGAACAAGGATTGCAAAATGCACTTTTAATTGTCTCTAAGCTCTGACCGCAGTGTTTAGAGTTTGCTTTTAATTATTTAAATAGCAACTACAAAGCAGCTCCAGTAAATGCCTGTAAAAATGTGGGAACACAGTATACCTTTTAATGGACTCATTGTGTACACGACAAACTAGAACCATGGACCGTGCTGCTGAGCTGTTGCATCTGTGTATCTTCTCCCATGTTCCACCTGCCTCTCCATATTTGGCTTCAGCACAGTGCCACTCATGCCCTAATCTGTGACTCTAAACTCCAGGCCACCACTTTCACTGCAGTGGCGTGTTTAGTCTGTTTGAGGCTCATATTTGGACTCATGAGTGGCTCCGGGTCCCATCTATCTTATTTCCTGAGAGCAGCAGAGCAGTTGTACCTCGTAACCATGTCAAACACACCAAAATCACACAGGCTTTAAAAGTGACACTGCGACCTACCGCTTCTCCTCAACATCAGACACTCTTCATCCGTATAAACTGTTGTACACTTACACCTTTATTTATGGGCACATTTGAAGTACTTATAGGGATGTAGTGGAGAGCAGAGCTTAATGGTTCCATTGATGTGCCCAGCTTAGGTTCACAGAGCAGGAAGACCTCATCGCAATGTAGTTTAGGAAGGCTTTAAACCACAAACTGTGTCATTTGAGCTAGAATGGAAGAACCTTTAGTCCAGCTTTAGCTTATCTAAAATGTATTTGAATTTTAAATAATTTCTTGCAAATGGTTTCATCACATTAAAAAAAAAAAAGTTCTTCCATGTTGTCACAAGAAAATGTGGACAGTAACATCAGGAGAAACTTTGTATGTCAAGGACAAATCCCCTCCTGATGTTGAAAACTGTTAAAACTTCAAACCTCCTTTTATAGAGCTGGTCTTAGGTTTATGACTTTGTGCAACATTTCTACCTAAAATGCTACATGTAATAATATATCAAATACTTTTCAGCAGTTAGTCCTATGATCTACATCTTAACAGAGATATAATTTCAATTAATTAAAAAACAACATAAATTACTATATTTATTTTATAGCACTGTATATTGCTGTCTAGAGATTTTTTTCTTCATATTGAGTACCAAACTAATGTTTAAGGGCAAAATATTTGAAGCTAAAGTGGTTAACAAGCTCCCATAAGCTCTCTAGCACAGGGCATGCATGACAGTTTAAAGAACTTTAACAATTATAACTTTTTTTTTTTCATTTTAGATTATTGATGCGATCTGAAAAGCGAGAGGAGTGTGAAGTTGTTAGACTGAGCTGTGGAGCGAGCAGGTGGGACATTGTGCCTCCACGTTATCCATCAGGTGACACTTTATTTAGGCTGACATGATATAGCTGGAGCTTAGGCTGAGTGTCGAAGTCCGTAAACAGCGAATACCAATCCATTAGAAGTGTGTGCATATACTATACAGTTCACTTAAAGTCCCACGCTACTTCAGCATACTTTCCAATGTCCTCCCTTTTTCCAGAATTACAACAAGGCATAGAAGATTGCCTAGTTAGTGCTATAGTTGCAGACTCACCCATCCAACATAAGAAGAGCATTCTTGCGTGGTCGTCCAACATTGGGCCCATAGAGATGTGCTTTGTTGTAGTATCGTACAGACTGGAGGAGGGTCCTGAGCTTGGTGTAGTCCTGTGCCCATTGGGTGCTGTTGACTGCACGCCCTACCATGCTGCGATAGGCATTTGGCTCTAAAGAAAGTAGATGTAACACAGTGAACAGATGTATTCGTAAAAAGTGTTGATAAATCTCAGCAGTCTGTTGTGCTTTGCATTTGAACAGAGTATATTCAATGGTCAGCAGAACAGGGGATAATTGAGCAATTGGCAGTAATGTAGACAGATGGAGTCGATGTCAGGGGAATAGACTGAGCGTGCAGGGTGGCCTTGTAAGGCTGTCTAAACCAAAAAGCACAAGGGGGATATAGGTTTTCACTTAAGCAGATATCCAATGAATTTCCAATACTTTCAATCTATGTACCTACCTCACATATTATGCCCACAAAGTATTAGTACCAGAAAATGTCCAGTTCTATGATTTATGAGTTTACCTGTGTAATTCATTTTAGTATCAATGTCAAAACCGTTCTCTAACTCCAAAGTTTTGTTATTTTAATGTTCTTCATTCACACACACAAAAAGACTGATCACTTAGGGGTAAGAAAAGTTATCCAAATTCGGGTTATGATTAATGTTACAACAGGCTACTGCTACTTCACTTTCAGATTTAATTAATGAGTTTTATTTGTTTCAAGAGCATATGTGTAGTTAGCATAAACTACAGCAGAAGTAAAAATCCTAACTGCTGGTTGGCTGCGTGCAGACAGGGCTCCTAGGACACATGTGGTTAGGATGACATGACAACAAGCAGCTCCTTTCATCTCAGTACGGGTCTCACTTAACCCTTTACGGCTGGCTTCAGTCTAATGTATTTGGTTTATCGCAGTATTTATTATGTGCTGTACGGTAACATCCAAATCTCACTGACTGATGACACCAGGACAAGGCATTAATTGAATGGTTTAACAGAAATGAGTTGTTAAAAAGTTGTTAAATTAAAGGTACAGTTTTCGAGTGGAGGATCCACCACTGGCTGGATATGTTATTGCTTTGCCTAGAATGTTCCAAAGTATGGCCTTAAACATTTGTATCTCTATGGAGACATTCAGGTACCGCCACCAAACAAAATTACAGGTCAGATCTGTGGAGAAGCAACCCCAGTCACAGTAATAATGGAGAATATTTTTGGCAAAAAATAAAAATAAAAACCTTATTGCATGCATTTATAAATGCAAGGTAAGTCCTGTTAATGCCATACCAGATACTTTTAGACAAAGCAATAACATTTTTGTACTTTAGTTCAAAATGAGTAATACTAAATTTTCTGAATATGTATTGTTAACTAGCAGAGTCTGTTACATTAAAAATGGGCAGACTTGGCGTGTGTACTCACCATTGCCCAGCTCCCAGGAGATGTTGTACTTTTTGCCGGCTCCGTACTTCAGGAGACTCAGTGTGGACGAGGTGTTCCACGTGTTGTCATGGTTACGGTGCAGCGCATTCAGCCCCAACACCAGGTGCAGACCAGCACAGTCAGCGAAGTTGTACAGTTTGTCTAAAGACCTGGCTGGGAGAAACCCACAAAGCAGTTGTAACTGTAACTTTTCAAATACATTGTTATTATTTCACCAGTAGCGCATATACAAAAAATATAAACAGTGTTAACATACTCTCTGCTACAAAACTGATAAGACCCCTTGAATTGAGTCGGACATAAGATAACACAGTGTTCTTGACTAAAATTCAGACTTTTCAGAGAGAGCCCAGACTGATTTTCCCATCATGCACCCCTGTGGAGAGGACTGAAGCTGACCATGCATTTCGTTTACATCTGCATTCTCCATTAAAGCTCAGGCCTCTTCATCGTCCTATTAAGGCTGAGTGGTCAAAGATGAGAGTCCAGCATAAATGTTGGCACATGTGAGTGTGCTAGACGTGTTTGTTTAAAGTCAAATGTGTGACTGCAGCCTGCTCCTGGTGCCTCTGGCTCTTGTTTTGAAATTTAAGCTCTTCACAGTCGTTGTGTTAATATAAATATTACCATGACCTTTGACCTGGACTTCCTTGGGCCAACGGAAAACAGATGAAGAAGATGGTGCCAACTTAAGTGTGATATGCTCACAGTTTGTGTTGTATCTCTTTGCAGAGTTAAGACAGATTGATGTAAGATTCATGATGTGTCTAAATGGAAATGCAGTTGTGCCAGTGCATGACTTGAGTCGTAATGCACCAGTGCATCAGTATTTAATAAATGGACGTGTTAAGTACAAATGTATGTCGATAAATCAGATAATAGAATGAACGTCTAAGGTCAAATCTGTTTCCACTCTGTTTTTAAGCTTTTATTCTTCCTGGAACATTTGTTTTGTATAAGCCACAGAGAAACACAAAGACGGTGTTTTGCATCTGGCCCCTGGTGTCCCTTTAGCTTTTATAGGACAAAACTTTAAATAGTTTAGTGTGGTGTACTCCTCACTTCTAAATGTGACTATAATCAAGAATTATGCAATAAATAAAATCACTATTATCATAACAGTGTCACTGTGTAATAAGTGGTGTGTGTGCTGAGCAGGAGAGAGAGAGAGACTCCAGAGCAGCTCCTGCTGAGGCTCTGTCATAACCAGCCCACGCTCACATTAAGCTGCTGCCCATTACATCTAATAGATTCTGGATTTCACTGGAGCCAACAGTTTAACGATTGTACCTAACTGATAGCCATGACCAAGTAGTGTTTGTTAAATAATGAATTCATGAAGACTATATGAGATTATGAGAATATTAGTTAATCAAATTAAATTATCAGTTTAAATAAAATGTAATACATCTTATCTCTCCTTCAAGAAAAAGGACAGGGTTTTGTAAGTTTTTTATTGGGTCAAAAGACTAAAAGCCAAATCTCCCATTGTGGCACACAATTAGTGTAGTGTTGAATGGTATGGTATCCACAAAGCAGGGTAAAAATTAACTATTTTGGAGAATTAAGTAGAGAATATATTGCTGTATATATGACAATAATATTTCCATATCTATATGCTCAGATTTTGTACAATTTTATCACATTTAATCATAAAGAAAAACAAAATATAATTTTTTCTTCTTCCCACTCCTTTTCAAGAAATGCACTTTTCTGTTGTTTACAATGTATATCTAGTATACATGATTATTGTTTCTGTCTTGGCACATAGTCGAAATAAAAACAAATCTGTACATTTTATTCTAATTTGTTGTCAGTGTTCTTAATAAAAAAAAATACATATTATATCATATATTGCTGTAATTTAAAGCAAAATCTGTTTGGCGAGAATAGATTTGATTTCCATATGAACTAGGGCAGCCAGTCCAGTTAATACAGTCAAAATCATCTACCAGACAATTCTTGCTGTAGCCAGTGTGCTCCCTATACCATACAAACTATTGGCTTGAGATGTGGGAACTGTTGGTAACCAGACTAAAAGATCTTCTGTAGTAGAAAATACAGGGTCTCGGGCTATGACAATTCTAACGAGGTTCCAGATTTGGTCCCCAGGCCTGACTCTGCAGATCCTCACTCTGGGATCTTCTAATACACTGCACATCCAATATATTGTTCCTGACAGTTGCACACTAAATTGAACCCGCTCTATTGAATATACTAGTATATTAAAACAGGAAGTGGGAGTTACTTCAGGGTCTATGACCCAATCTGACCTTAGCTCATAGACCAGAGCCCCTCTGAAACATTCCTAACCTTAAATAAAATGCCCTTTTGAAAGTGAATACAGTTTTCATTTTCACAACACACTGCAGCATAAAACAGCTTGGAGTTGAACTGCTTTCATCTGACCGACTGTTGAGTTGAAAACATCAGAACTATCCCCAAAGATTACAAATGTGTGTATTGTGTAACCCTGCACACTTGTGTGTAACGGAAAGAGTGGGGTCTGGACACTGTCAGCCTGTCTATCTGATAAAAAAGCCAGTTGTGTGAAGCAGTGAAGTCGGCAGCATCAGTCAGCGTTATGCCTCATTTCTACAGCTCTGCATATTGACTCAAACACAGACAGGTCCACGTACACTGGGCTCATACAAACAGTGAACCACCCACAAAAACCAGAGCACTACTCCGGAATGCACAGCCAATACATGTAAACACTTTTAAACTGACTATTGCATATTAATACAGGTGGTAGTCACTGCTCCCTTAAAGGGCCAGTGTCCGATTTCTTTCCATGTATTTGGGCAAAACGTGTGTGCTCCGGTACAGATATAGTTTATAAGCATGTCTTGAGATCAAAATAAGTCTGTTGCATTCTGCCTGCAACTAATTATAAAGTGTTTCATTGTAAAATAATCAGAAAGTGTGTGGTTAGCATGCTAGTTGTTGTTAGCATTATTGTGACAACAACTGCAGCAGTGCTGACTCCCCTCTGACCTCAGAAAGTTGAAAAAACTCATTGCAGTGAATAATTAGGATGCTTGGAATGAATGCGAAATAACTTTGGTTTAACGCTTAACATGAACTAGTTCTGTTTTTAAAACAATAAAAATCAGGTACAGCACCTTTAAAGTGAATATGACAGTTTTGACGACTAACTTCTAACCCCTGTCATCATCTTAAATGTAAGATATAGTTTCACAATTTTAGTAAAGTTTATAAACTACTTCCTGGTTGGACATGGTCAGCACATGTGACATAGATTCTGTACATGAGGGGAAAAGTTCGCCTAATTTACACAATAGTTATCATTTGACATATTAAAATATGACATGTTGACAGATCAAAGCCCATCTAGAAGCACAGTGAGAAAGCGAGTAGAGAGAGGGAGAGAGGACCTGTACTGAACAAAGCAGACAGTTCCTATAACCTTCAGTGGTTGTTTGAGCTATTCACCAGATTCTATTTATCTATGAACACGCATGTACTATGTTAGTCTTAACTGTAGCCACAGCAGGCTGTCCATGCATACTTTCATTTATCAGTTCTTTCTTATGGATTTCCATTTTTCACTGACGCGGATTCCTCTAGCCAGAGCATTTGACCGAAACAAGGTCATTCACAGAACTACCTGTACTAATTCACATTTTTAAAGGAAACAAATGTGTAAAAGAGCTATGAATGGGATGGCCCATTACAGTGATGGACAGAGTGGTGTACTGTTACAACCTCAGCATTGAACACTGTTAAATAGATGAAATATCTGCCATACATCCCATGTTAACTTGACACTGCCAGTTAGCGCTGGAAAGAAGGAGAAATGTGGTTTTAATATTGTACAACTCTGAGCTTCACCGCCGGCGTGTTGCATAGACCATAACAACGCCTTGTTTACACATACAAATCTTAACATGGACTCTTCTTTCACACACAAACCACTCAGGTCAACACACTTTTGTAGTTTTGCAGAATGCAAGATATTGTTGGTCACCTGTTTTCAATTGTCTTTGATATGAAGGATAGTATGTGTGTGTTTGGGTGTGAAAAAGGGAGAACTACAGATTAGCTCGCTCAGTAAATGTGAAGTGACTGGACTAGTGTGTGGCCCTTCCTCTTCCTCTGCAGAGCCTCATGACAGAGGGGCCGGGTGAGTAAGATGAGTGGTATGTTAACATACACTGTTCCCATGTACAGTACATCCACACTGCTACACTGTGGTACAGGCTGCAATGAGACAACAAATGAAAGGAGGGACATCCAGTGCACGGCTCGCTCGCTCGAGAGAAGCAGAGCTGTGGGAGGCTTAACATCTGTCTGGCAATACTTTGTCTATCACTCTCTAATGAGAAAAGTGCTCTTTAAGAACTAATGACCTTGATGTGAAACAAGGTGTGCTTCCTCACAGACAAGCATGTCTTTTTACTTTGCTATTTGCTGCTGGAGCTACAGAACCTATAAACTCACTTTTTTATGAACCGATGTGCAGGCAGGTCACACTGAAAATACTTCATTCTATCCCTTTATTAAACTGGCCCAACCCTGCAGAAGGTACTTTCACTACACTTCATAGTTACACAATTAGCCATCATTCCAGTTCATCCTTTCCATAACAGATTTATGGAACCAAACATAAGGACTTTTATGCAGAGCTCTCCAATCTGGCACCTCTTGACCTGTTCACACCAAAGATTACAGTCATTTGCACAGACGGTTGTAAATGTCTGACCCCTGATCTGCTCAGCTGCCCCCTCACCCACCTCTGCTGACCTGGGCTCATGCTGGGATTCAGCTTGGATTGCTGGATAATTGCAAAGAAACAAGAGAAGACAGAGTGAAACAAAGAAAAGGACGAGCAGGTTAACACAGCCTATGGACCATCAAAGAGTTGGCAAAACAATGCCTGAAGCCTTTTCCATGTAACACCTGCTGTAGAGGGTACCACATATCATAAGGACAATATATTTAAGTTGAATCTAAAATGAGAAATGATTCTGCTGGTGTTTCAAGTGTACAGCATAAGACTGTCTGATCAGACATGAACAAAATGAACAATGTGTAGTACTAATATTAAGAGCTTTGATCCCCGGGTGATGAATGAGCGTCATGAAGACCAGACCCCTGCTTGGGCAGCAAAGCAAACACAAAGTGCCCCG